CAGCCTCCCAGAGTGCTAGGATTACAGGCGTGAGCCACCGCACCTGGCCTGATTAAGGTCATTTCAATGATGTATCTTGAAGCAACTCGCCCTGAAGACCAGAGGCCCGACCCAGGTGCTGGAAAGTTGGGTTATGCAGTGCTCTGCGTGGGTGGCGGCCAAGCTCGCTGTTCATTTCTTCGTGAGCTGCAGCCGTTCTCCTGTCCGCGCGGGCATTGGTGTGCCTGACAAGTGGATGGGGAAAGAAGAATGTTCTTCCTTTTGTCTGTGGTGACAAAGCGCTGGCTTCCAGCTTTACTGAGGAGATGGAACCTGGGCCCAAGATTAAATTTACCAGGGCACCAGGTGACTCCCCAGACAATAAGCTGTCAAAGAGTCACTGTATTTTTAGCATTTGGTCTAAAAGCTTCTGTAAGTTACCCAAGCCATTCATTATTTAGATAATGCAGAATGCATGCTTCAGAAGTCACTCTAAAAATACGACCTGTCTCCCATCGCGTCGGCACCACGAAGCCCCGTGCTGCGGCAGGAAGCAGCAGATGGGGAAGCTTCGTTCCGGTGCCTCCGGAGAAGGCAAGCTTATTTTTCTGACTTAGTGTGGAGCATCGTGATGCCTACCTTGATTTGTAACATATAAACATCTGACTCTACACTGTCTTTGCTTCTTACATTCTTACTCTCTAGCTTATGTTCTAAATTCTCTACAGTTCTCTTCCATTTGTCTTAAGAAATTCTAAACATAATTTTCTTGGAAATCACTGCTTATGATTTCTGGATGAAACCCAGGCAAGCTGTGTACGGTGGTTTTTGTTTTCTCTGGTTGAGTGGTTTTGATGGTGCACACAAAAAGAACTTAATCTTAGTCACAGCCTGGTATGACCATTTTATATGTGTACGTAGCTGAAAGAATTTCTCAACAGTACTTACTTGTATTACATGTGAGGCACTAATATTTTCTGTTCTAGTTATAATTAAAAATTGCTACTTGGTACCCATTGTGGGGTTGCAGCTCACAATTTAAAATATACTGCCTTGCCATGTAGCTCCAGATGATGTGTGGGTCATTTTACCTTCTAAGACTCACTGATTTTTTTTTTTTTTTTTTTTTTTTTAAGACAGGGTCTCACTCTGTTGCCCGGGCTGGAGTGCAGTGATGTCATCATAGCTCACTGCAGCCTCGAACTCCTTAAGTGATCCTCCTGCCTCAGCCTCCTAAGTAGCCAGGACTATAGGTGTGAGCCACCACGCCCAGTGATCCTATTCAGTACACCTTCTTAATGAGCCTTGAGGACCCCAGCGTGGCCTGTGGCCACCTCTTCCTGCTTTTTTGGCCCTTTCCCCTCTCCCCCCCCCAGACCTCCCCTGCCCATGTGATGTCCACACGGTGCCCACCCTTGCTGTAACCACCGCCTCTGTCTAGAAAGGACCAGGATGGTGGAGGCATCGGTGCGTGGTGAGATTTAAGTTGTATCCTTTAAATACAGTTCTGACCTATAAGATGAAGAGTCTGTGTGGTTTTTTTGAACGGAAGTGTTCTTTGAGAAATTGACTCATGAGTATTTTGTGAGGACAGCTAAGCCTGGCATCTACTAATGGTGGCAGCACGACCCCACTCCTGCGTGGATGTGGTGCACGCTTGGCCCCTTCCTTCTTAGTTAGAAGGGAGAGAGAGGGGGGCATTCCGTCAACGGCATTTAGAGAGTGAGCTCTAAGTCAGTGTGTGCTTTGTTTATTTATTTAACTCTCCTCGTAATGGAATATGGATTTTTGTTTCACCTGATATGACACGTTTCTGGGGCTCTGTTGGACCTTGCCATTACACTAGGAAAATATTTGATGGCTCGTCAGAAAGGAACATTTATAATTGTGTTAGTAACCTGCACAAGTTGTCAGCCTTGGGGACAGGGTGGCAGGCAAGGAAGGTTGAAATTGACAGCATTTCGCCACTTAAAGATAGGCACGAGAAATGCCAATATCCACTGGATGAGTTGAAATTAATTTGGTTTGTAGGCTTTTGTTGTTAACATGATGTTTGATGGGAATAGTTTTGTAAGGGAAATCATTAAAAATTGATTTGATTAATGTGTTTTTATGACATTGGTGTGAGATGCCATACCGTGGTGGTGGTGACCAAAGGGTGTTGTGATGGCCCCAGGCGTTGTCCCTGCAGAGCGCATGGGCAGGGGCCTGCGCACCAGGGCACCTCCTGACTCCTCGTACCTTTGTCCCCTGGAGACACCTGCCCCCGCCCTCGATATAAAGGCTACCAGGAGGCTCTGCAGTCCCCAACTAGATCTCTTCTGCAGTGTTGAAGATATTTCTTTAAAAAATGATGTAATGTCCTTAACCTAAATATTTTACATTGCCTTAACCTTCTGTAGTTTTTGCCAACAGTGGGATGTTTTAAAACCTAGAGCTCTCAACCAACTATGTCTTCCATTGACTGGCGAAGCATTGGTTTAAGCCAATGCATTTTGACCACGTGCTGTTCTGTGCTTGATCCCTTTTCTATTTAAACAGTTTTATTTCCATCTCCCTTGATGTAAACCAATGACAACCTTCTGTTTCCTTTAATGATAAGGTTGCTTCATCTTCTGCTGTTTGATAAATTGTGTTTTTAATGTAACGAGCAAATATGACAAGGCACAAATGAGATTTCCTAGCTTTATAGTGACTCAGGGATTCAGGAAGCTGTTTCATTTGAGGACAGGAGCAGTTGGAACAGGAGGTAGTGTTGAAGGTAACATACCAAGTGAGCATCTTAACAGAGGCCCCCAGGAGTGTCATCAGACTGTGCTGTCGTAAAATCCCTTCTCATCCACGCCATTTAGAGGTAGCCAAAGATGGGAAGCCCAGAGCTGGTGCACAGCCTTGCTTCCTTGCTGTTTACTGAGATGTGGGTATGCAGCAATGCTGAAGAGCTGGGCTCTGGAGCCAGCCTGGAACCTCAGGCAGGTCACATACCACTCAGCTTTCCCATCTGTAGAATGGGCGTAATCGTCGTGCCTGCCTCCCAGTGTCACTGTGAGAACTCGACGCAGCCTTGCTGCAGAGCCTGCCTAGGCTGAGCGCTGTATGAGGCTTTGCTGCTGCAGCCTGTGGTGTTGGGCACCTGATTTTTGGTGTGTGGGCGCAACTTAACTCATTTTATCCATGTAGAGCTCTCCCTAGCAAAACAACATGGGCATGCAGATGTTGTGTAAATTTTTGCTAAAATTCGCTTTGGTTAATGATTCATGAGTAGCCTTTCAGAGCTATCAGGTTCTGAAACAGAGCTTTGGATAAGATGGTCTTATCCTGATGATGGCATCCTGTGTCCTCTTCCTTCACCTTAGCAGCCATCGCAGGAGGAAGAGGAGAGAGGGAGCAAAGTGCCAGTACCATTCTGCTCATTTCAGTTTATGGTCAATATTCAACGAATTTCCATATTTTGATAATACACTGACATTAAAATTATAGCAAAATCAGCCAAATCGAGAACAAACAAGTATGCTCCCCAACTCCAATGGCTGTCATCGGTGTGAGTCACTGGCACAGTGGGGCAGGCCTGTGAGCTGGACAGCACAGCACCATTATTCTCACAGCCTGCTGCTGCTCTTATTAAAACATACAGAATTTACCAGCACTTCCCTTACAGCTTTATGCTAGATGAGGTGTCTCCCTGTTGGACTGTAGCAAATGTAGCTAAGAAAACAGAAGAAACGGAAAGCTCGTCGGAATGAGAAGAGGCTAGTCTCATTCGTCATGCATACCCAACCAGGGGTAGCTTTGATTTTTTTTTTTTTTTTATTATCCTTCATGCATTGTTTAGAGGAGACAGATGGCTTTCCAGTTCATCAAATTTTTTCAATTATCTAAAAGGAAATTCCTGAGCCTGGAGCAAATCACTTCAATAAATCTCATTCATACTTACCTGCTGGTGCTTTTTTTAAATGGAAGAAGAAGAGTGTTTTTCAAGTGCATTTGGGAAGCAGTTTCATGTAAATTAGAAAAATTTTCTCCGTAAAGCAGCAGAGTGAGATGAAGAGGCCGGGATTGGACGTGAGGAGGTCCGGGCCTCTCTCAGGCTTTCTCCTCAGCAGGCCGTGGGGCGGGGCTGCTCATATCCAAAGAACTTTCCCGCTTTTGTGCATTTTGAGTGTGGTAGAAGGGACTGTGTGTTTTGTATATCGGGGTGGCAAAAGTCATCGTGCGCACATCGAGTCCATCGTGCATCTCGGGTCATCTAAACATCGGAGGCCACACCACAAGCAGTATGGCAGGAGGGGCTTAGTGTGAACATGGTGTGTCGCACCCCCTGTCATCCTGGCCTGTGGCCCCTGTAGCTGGGTTGTGACTTCCCAGGTGACTCCCAGAGTCTGAAAGGGGACTAGTGAGCGTCTCCAAATTGGATCCCCCCTGGGTGGGCCTCTTTTAAGTCAGGAAGACACACGCTGTGAAGTAGATGGAGACAGGGAGGGACATGGTGTGTCCAAAAATTAGCAGGACCCAATCCATGAACATGGATTCCAAAGCAGTGTACTTGATTAAAAAAGGTGGTTTGATTTTTTTTGTGTGCTTGATATGCAGTTTGTAAGATTTATTAATAACTAGGCTATGTCGACTCTCTGCTCTCAAGAAACTCTTCAGTTCGTAGCACTTAATAAATACTTGTTGAAATGTCCCCAGCATTCCGTTGCCCCACCCTCCATAGACGGCCCTCAAACCCTCTGTGGCCCCAGGTAACTCTTCCCCAACTGCCCACGTTCCCCCAGCTCCTCTCGATGATCCCTTGCCGAATAGTGGACACCAGACAGGCTGTCAGGTGGCTGCGGTCCAGCTGTGCCCGTCTCCAAGGTGACGGTTCCCTGCGCCGCCTCTGGGCTTTCTGCGTTCAGCCCTCCCCTCTGCACCCGCCTCGGGCCGGGACCTTAGTCTGTGTTTGCAATGAAACATTTTTAAGGAATGTTGGCACTCGGTGAATAGATGGAAATACTAACTCTTTGTTCTCTTCCTAACAGACACGAGACGACTTCCTGGGCCAGGTGGACGTGCCCCTTAGTCACCTTCCGGTAAGGGCAGCCACGTGCTCGCTGCTGCGTGTGGGGGCGGCGGTTTGTTTTCAGAGGGTGTTTCTTCAGCACATGGAGAAGGCTGAAGGGAAGCGCATGTGCTCTGGCCCTGGCGTCTTTCTGGAAAGTGGTCCTTTCAAGGGGCTAGAGCAGGGGTCCTCACACTTTTTAAACGGGGACCAGTTCACTGTCCCTCAGACTATTGGGGGGCCGGACTATAGTTTTAAAAAAACTATGAACAAATTCCTATGCACACTGCACATATCTTATTTTGAAGTAAAAAAAAACAAATGGGCAAAAACACCTGCATGTGGCCCATAGGCCGTAGTTTTAGGACACCTGGGCTAGAGGATAATGTGATTATGAAAACAAAGTGTCTCTGGATCCTCTGGGCTCTCCTGTCCCTTCCCTTCTGCTCTTCAGTTGCTCACCTCTGTCTGTCACATCCTGCAAACAGCCATCTCCTTTGCTCAGTCCCTTCCTTGTCACTCAGTATCTGCTTCCAAATCCATCCTTTGGGTCTGATCAGCTGTTTGTTCCCTTTGTCTGGAATTGCATCTGCTGTTGCTCTGAGGTACATCCAGACAAGCTAGTATTTCCCAGACTTTGGTTTATGGCCTTCTCAGTCAGCATGGAGACAAAAGGAAAGACGCCGTCCATTCCCAGTGAACTTGGCAGCTGGACACACCCACCCTGGCTTCAGAGAGTGTGCTGGGTTAGCTCTCGGGCTGCCGCTGCCATTTCCGTCTGCTCAGATGAGCAGCAGAACAGTCGAGGCTGTTGACCAGCAGCTGAGACTAGGAGTGTCACCGGCAACGTGAGGCAGTATCGCTAGAATGTGGGGCCAAGACCTGCAGGCCCTGGTGAAGGTGGATCATCTCACCCCCCAGCTTCACTGTTCCAGATTGTTCCACCCCTTGTCCCGGCCTTTGTCCCTTCGGCAGCACACAGTGACATATGGAGCAGCTAAGAGAGGAAAGTCAAATGTTGCTGCCATACAAGGGCATTGTGTTATTTTTTTTTAATGCTTTATGTGAGCAAGTAGCGTAAATAGTCTATAAACTAAAATGACTTAAACCGCTGAGCGTCAGCTCCCCTCTGTGTTGAAGCTCTGGCCGTTGCCATGTGTCAAATACCAAGAAAGAAAGGCTGACTCTTACCAGGGCAGCTTTGAAGATGTGCCGTGAAGGGACGTGAAAGCAAGCAGGTTGTTCTTGCCACCCAGGGGCGCTGTTAAGCAAGGAAGGTCTCCAGTGCGTTCCCTTGCCAAGGATTGGAAGTGAAGGTGATAACCTTAAGATATTTTTGTTTCTGTGTAAAAACCTGAAGCTCCACGGTGCCGCAGGAGAGTGCCTGTGTGTGCCTGCATGGGGTTTCCACCGGGGACCGTCTCCACGCGCCACCAGGAACTGGGTTATTCGTGTGCGGTCACGTGGAGAGTGTGGGCATGTTTCAGCATTTGCGAGGAAAGACCCTTTGCGTGGGTCTACGTCAGCAGCCCTGGCCGTTCTTCACGTTGAAACTGACTCTTCTCATACTTTCAGACAACACTGGTGGGTTGGCCAGTCCTTTCCCGGATGCCCCCAGCCTCTCTTTTCCCTAATGTAGAAACCACATCTTGGCCAGGGGGAATTGTTTACTAATATCCTATAAGAGGAACAGGTGAAAAATTTTAAGGACTTGCTCCAACAAGCCTTTGTTGGAGTGATCAAGTGGAGGTTGGTCTTGAAGGATTGGGCAGGGCTCCTAGCAAATAGAAGAATTTTCCTCTTCGGAGGCCAAGTTGGTAGAGGGAATAGTTCGGTTTCGGGTAGGGAAGAGGGTAGGGTCAGGGAGCCTTCAAAGAAGGAAATGGTGCTGAGGCTGAGGGCTGGAATAGAAACCCACAGGTGAAAGGGGGTGAGTTCCCAGAGAGGACTGAGTACTTTAATGTGAGCTGAGTCCATCAGGTAATGGACCCTCCAATTCTACATAAGCCCAGATACTGGCTTACGCCGGAGTGCCATCATCTCTGTGCTTAAAATCAACTAGCTATTTAGAGGGGAGATGGACCACAAAGAAAACAAAGGAGAGAAGTGAGCATACATTCTCTCTCCTGTGAGGCCGTCGAACCCAAGTAGCAGGTTCTGACTGGAACGTCGTGGCCTTTGAGCGCAGGGTCTCAGGTGCTGTCGTGTATATCCGATCATGTGTGTGGGGCGCTTGTGAGGAAGTTATACAGCGTTCTTCTGTTCCATGTGATAGCGCACACCAGTGTGAGTGTGAAGTGTATGTTAGCATTCAAATGTGTTTTGTGGAGTGACTCGCAGTGCTCTGTTACGGTTATTATAGCCATGTGGCCATTGTCAAGGCAGATTATATATGGCCTGTTAATTCAATATTTGTCAAAATCATCAAACTTGAAATTTAAAAAAAAATAGGGAAATGATGATTGAGGACACAGAGTGTGGTATCATGGTGGTGAAATGGCCCTTGCCAACCCACCGGCTTTTTCGAGATTGAAGAACTCTGAGTTGGTGTTTGATGATTCATTGACTTGGTAGGGCCCCATTAGCTAATGGAGCATTCGTTCCTTCAACACATGTTGGTGGGTAGACAGGACTGTAATCTTTGAGGATGGGTCCGTGAAGCAAGTTCCTCCCTCACGTAGCTTAGCGCCACCCATGACAGCAGCAAGTGTGGCGGACGGGCATCAGGAATGTGGCCAGTGCGACAGAGGGGCTCCGTGTACTGTTTGTCGTTTTGGTTTTGCGGCAGGGTCTCTCTCTCTCTCTCTCTCGCCCTGGCTAGAGTGTAGTGGTGTCATTGTAGCTCACTGCAACCTGCAACTCCCATGCTCAAGTGATCCTCCTGCCTCAGCTTCCCAAGTAGCTGGAACTACAGGCATGCACCATGACTCTCGGCTAATTTTTTCATTTTTAGTAGAGACGGAGTCTCTCTTGCTCAGGCTGGTCTCGTACTCCTGAGCTTAAGGCCCCTCCCTCCTCAGACTTCCAGAGTGCTAGGATTACAGGTTTGAGCCACCGCGCCCGGCCTGTGTATTGTTTTATTTCATTTTACTTAAGATTTAAATTTAAGAAGCCACATGTGGCAAGTGGCTACCACACTGGGTGGCACGTGTACGAATCAAATCAGAGTCCCCTGCCTCAGGTCAGAAAGGTGTGATTGTGGCTTCCCTTATCCTCAGGTGATCGTTCTGGCTACTGGGGGAGTGGGGAGGAGACCTCTCAAACACAGGCTTTGGTGTTTGTGGTGCGAAGCCCTGCTTTCACATTCTTAGGGTTACATTCCCTGACCCAAAGAAGCCTCCCAGGCAGGTGAGAGGGTCGGAGAGTCCCCACCGGGAAGCCACGCTTTGGCATCAGACCTGGCCCACTGCCAGGAGCTGGGTGCCTGGTTAAGTGCCCTGTTGGGCCTGTGGCCCTTACGTGGGAGTCCGGGTCGGAGCTCTGCCGGGGAGACAGGCAGAGGAGGCGGCTTGGCCTAAAGAGGCGGGGCAGGGAGCGTTGCTGGAAGCCGGGTGCCCTCTGCGCAGTGGAACGTCCCTACCTCAGTCCCCAGCGGCGGTGGCCAGAGGAGGCAGCGTTAGCCCTGTCGTCGGCCCCTGACAGGAAGGAAGAGTGGTAATGAGAAAATTATCTCTGTCCCCCCCGCCTTGATGGTGATTCCTCCGTGCTTCCTACTTGCCATGTGCTTGCGGAGGAAATAAATTGTTAGCGTTGTGATTCATGGTCATTCCCGAGCTCAGGCTCCACCCCCCCCTCCCCAGTTTTATTTGTGGGGAAGAAAATAGATAAGACATAGGACTGGAGGCGTCTAGAATGGCAGGGGCTTCTGTGTCCTCTGCTTCTACTCCACATTTGCCACTTGTCCTTAATATTTCTCTTCCATTTTATTCAGTGTTGGGGGGGGAGTGAGGACAGGAAGAAGAGAGGCCAGGGGAGAGCAGGGAGGGCTGTAGGCCTGCAGGCCGGAGAGTCGAGAAGGCACCGGCAGGCTCCTGCTCAGAAGTCTTAAGCCGTCCCAGGCTTTAAAAGACGGGACTCTGTGGGGAGCTGTTGACTTCCACCTGGGCAGCCTTAATCTGTTAGCCCCCGGTTTCCCTGTATTCGTATAGACGTTACCAGGTTTCCATCCAGCTCTATGGTAGAACATTCTTTCTGCTCCACAGTGGTCACTAAGCAGAGGCACCAGCAATCACGATGACATGCGTGCCCCCCAGGGGCTCTGGCCAGTGTGAAGCACGGGGGGCAGGTGGAGGAGATGGGAGACCTGTGTCCATTCCGCAGCGGGAACAGAGCTCCTCTGTTTTTATCTCTTGCATTGGGGCACCAAGAGTAAACTTCACTGTAACTGTTCTGTTAGTGTTGATTTTTTTTCAGTGCCCGTTTTCACATTTGTTTAAACTCAATCTGTCATTGCCTAAAAAGTTCATGTAGTGTTTGATATCTTGTATCTACTAATTATTTAAAGGTAAAAATCACTCGAAGACTTGTGTTAACAACGGAATGAGATTCCTGGCGGTGTTTGCACCTCTGAATCTTTTGTTGCCCCTTCCCTGGCCCATTGCGTCTCCCCAGCCCGTGGAGTCCCCAGTGTGCCCCACTCTGCCCAGCAGCACAATCTCTGCATCCGTGGGGAAGGCAGTGGGGCAGAGAGAGCGACTTTAAAAACATGAATTTCTCCCATTTTCAGGGTGGTGTTGTTGGACGCCTTCCCTGTACTTAGGCGGCCGACATTCTTCTACCCCCTTGTGTTTATGGCGCCAGCAGAGTGACGGCACCCACTCGTGTGTGCAGGATTCAGTGTCATGGAGCTTGGAGGGACTTAGGGACATGTATTGACTCCCAGTATTTTCCAGGTGAGGAAACCTGGACCCAGAGAGGGAGGTGACTTGCTCAACAGTCAGCAGGTCGGTGGCAGTGCTGACCTGACCCTGGGTCTCTAGCATCTTCCTGTGCCTGTGGAATAGTCAAGGGCATGGGGACCAGCTCAGCCTAGGGCCCGGGCGTCTCTGGTGTTGGCATCTGGAAACCTAGTGGAGCCCTCTCCTTCCGTTTGCCTGAGAATTATCTGTCTCGTCCGGTACCATAGTGACGGCACTTCTGCCGAAAACAGCTATTCTCTTTAAGATGAAAACACTATGCATCCAGAAGATTTCCTTTTGCGTGCTCATACCCTGGGACAGGAGGCAGCATTCTGGCCATTTTGGCCAACAGCGCTGTACACCGCAATCTGTTTGGGGTGGTTCCCCCCAGGAACACCCCTGTGCCATCCGAGGAGCCTCCACTAGGCCTTTCCCCAGGGGACGTGGTCAGGTTGGAACCTGGATGAATGCCAAGAAAAATCTTGTAATTATCTCCACGGTCATCATCTCGTTCAGACTCGAGAATTCCCGTGAAAGTGAACTTTAATTTTCAGTGCCCTGCCTGTTACTGCTTGGCACGGAGTTGGCATTGCTCACGAATGACGTGAACATGCAGAGAGTGGGCTGATAATATCCAGCGTTTGTTGAACGTGCCGGGTGCTTTCGTGAGGACTTTATTTAAACCAGCTCCATCGATTTAATCCTCACAACAACCCTGTAAGGTACGGTAACTGCCCTGTGTTATAGAAGAGGGGACACTGAGGCACAGAGAGGTGAGGAACTTGCCCTTGGCCACTGAGCTCTGTAAGTGACAAAGCCAGGACACAGACATGGGAGATCTGCTGTTGACCCGTGCGGTGGTGGTCATGTAAACTGCACGCGTACGCACATTGGCTTTCAGCCCCGCTGTGCTCTGTGGTTTTCTCTGTTCGCTCTTTTGTGCACTCGCTGCTGCTCCTAAGTTCCTCATGCCCACTAATGATCCCGAAGGCTTTGCTCGTGCTGTTTGATTTCCTAAGCTTGAACTGTCCTCCTTCCCAGTTCTGCACCTGTCACAACCTTCCCATCCATCTCGGATCGGACCACACACCTCCAGAAACCATTTTGACCCCCAAGTCAGAATCAGTCTCTTCTCTCCACCCCAGGCCTTGAGCTCTGTATGTCACTGAGCCTGCTCTGCCTCAATTTCTAAAGAGTTGTTGATATGCGGGCCCCCTCCCATGTCATTGAACTGCAAGAGCAAGTACTGTGTTATATCTACATCTTTTGCATGGTATTGCTGTAAAATTGCTAGTTAAATGAAAAGAGGAAAGAATACCAGCAGTAGTTTTCTTGATTAAAAAATCTTCCATTATAAGTGATGTGTATTTGGAAACTTCTTGTAGAAAACATTTCCAAATTGTGTGTATGTTTACTGCCTTGCGAAAACAGTCTAGGGAATATGACTGTCTTCAGCAATAGTGAATTTTCAGGGCCTCGGTAGTTTACTGTGAATCAAATGAATTAATCAGCTAAGCATCAGCGATACAGTGGTAAGCAAAATCAAGTTTGATCTCGTTGGCTCACATCCCAAAGGTGATGGATGATAAACTAATAAAGTCATTTCAGATGGTGATACAGGGGAGATAAAGCAGGGTGTGATAAGAGTGGCTCACAGAGGCGATTTAGGATGGGAACTCTGAGTTTTTCACTTGGGTCTCATACGTGGGTGGCGGCCCTGCCGTCCGGAGCCAGCTGTCTAACAAAAGGACCTGCCTGTGCGTGTGCATGGGCCTCGACCCTCTGCAGCAGGGCTCAGTGTGATCTGCGCACATACAGATGAGGCCAGGGTGGCTGGAGTATAAGGAGGGAACAGACAGACTGGTTCACAACGAAGTCAGAGGATATTAAAAGCCAAATCATAGTAGACCTTGTAGGTCATAGGAAAGAACTTTCATTTTGTTAGGAGTAGGGAGCCATTGGGAGTTTAAAGCAGGGAATGACATAAACCGATAACGTTTCAGATATAAGTGCGTACATACACACACAGACCTGCTAGATAAATCATCCCACTGTGGTTTATCTATCTTGCTGCAAAAGTAAATATTTGAAATTATATTTAAGGGTCTAGGTATTTGAGGTTTTACTACATATAGTATTTCTTGCTTTGTTAGGCTAAGTTTGATCTCAACTTTGTACAATACAACAAATACTGATTTCTTTCAAAATGAACAAATATCCTGGTCTCGCTCATAACTTCATGAGCTAAACTCCAGCAAAAGACTAAATGGCAGTGCTTCCCAGGACAATCTCCGTGCAGGAAATAATCCTTCAGTTATCTTAGGCTGATGACATGACGTTTTAATATGAAAAATAAAGTTGCTTTCCTAGGAGAGGTCTTGTATATTCTCCTGTTGACTCCACTTTTAGGCCTCTTGAGTCGCGGGGCACCAGTGACCGCTGGTTCTCCAGAGTTAATCAGCTCTGCGAGAGCGAGGCCACACCCTACAATTAGAAATTACTCTTGGCAGTGACAGCTATACTTTTGTCATTTGTCTGCGGCTGGGGTTGGCTCCTAGAACCCGATGTGGATGGTGACATCTAGTGGATCTCGAGCAGAAAAGTTCCGTGGCCCGTGAGACGTCCGGTGCATTGTCTACGTGCCGACTCCTTTTTCACCGTCGCCGTCGCCACGTTCAGAAATAGGAAATGTATTCTCGGGGCACTAGTTCGGTGTATCCACAACACAAAACTTAAGAGGGTTGAAACTTAGTTTATTTTTTCTTCCCATAGACGGAAGATCCAACCATGGAGCGACCCTACACGTTTAAGGACTTTCTTCTCAGACCAAGAAGGTGAGGCCGGAGGGGGGCCGGGGCGGGTGTCTGCCCCCAGTTTAGTGCTCTCCGGGGACGAGCTCAGCAGTCGCCATAAACAAGAAAGGTGTAACCAAGTCGTGTCCCTTATCGCCAATTTTCTTCCGTTATGCAGTCATAAATCTCGAGTGAAGGGATTTCTGCGACTGAAGATGGCCTACATGCCCAAAAACGGCGGTCAGGATGAAGAGGGCGGCGAGCAGAGGGACGACATGGAGGTAAGCCGCGCTCCCGGCCTCGCTCGGCTTTCCCGGCTGAAGGTCGCGTTCATGTTGCACTCTGACTTTATAATTGAAGGAAATACGAGTTTATAAAGCTTAAATACAGAAAAGCTTGGCTGTGCCCATGAGTCTGTCTTTGATAGTGTACCTGCACGCCTCACCTGCCTTGGTTTAACAAGGTGCGCTTTTCTTTTTGTGTCGCAACTCTAGGAGTTGAAGAGGTTTCTCTGTGGACAGCGCTCTGTGACATTCCCCTCACGCATTTAATTCTATCACTGGTTGGGACTTGCAGCTCTCTGTAAGTCCTTTTAGCACTTGAAATTGCCTCAGAGCGGATGAGGTGGTTTAGAACATCTTTTCCAAGTTCCTTACTCACTGGGCCCACAGGTGGCAGCCTGTGCTAGAACAGCCCTCTCCCTGGAGATGTCGCTCTGGGGTCAGCTGTCCGGAGGGGTTTCCCTTCCTGCCCTCCTGACCCAGCTGCCCTCTGACTTCCTGATCACAGACCAGCGCTGCGGGTCGCGCCGCACCTCCTCTGCGCTCGCCACACGTGGTGCTGCGCTGTGCGACGGGCTCTCGTGGTGTCCCCAAAGCGGCCGTTAGGCAGGGCCTCCCCCCGGGCTCCTGCTCACATCTGTTCGCAGCTGTCGCACACACGTGACGCGTGAATAATAACGTGTCTCGGGCAAGTTATCCGAACCCCCTCCGCCCGCGAGGTCGTGTTTCCAGGCAGCATTTCACTGGTGAGCTTTCATCTCTCCGCATACGTGACGAGGAGTGACGTGGGTGGCAGGCAGTTATGAATGTTACGGTTTCATGAGCACATCAACAGATTTCTCTCTCAGATCCAGGGGATTTTTTACACTCTTCTTGCCTTCCAACTGCAGTAACCAGTGAATTGCTGAATTTTCCAGTGATTTTTACCAGGGGATGTTAGGAAAGGAATACCTAATGCCTAAAATATGCATTTCAAAAATGTAACTTGAACTCTGGCACCGTGAGGGAAGCCTGTTGGTGCAGAGGCGGCGAGTGTGGAGGGCCTACGTGGAAAGCCGCAGTCCCAGACTTCTGGCTCCTGTGACTGCACTAGATGCAGAGTCCAAGCTGGCCTCCCTGGGGAGCAGCGGGGCCCTGGGCCCCCTGGTCACCTGGGCTGTGATTGCTTTTAGGACACAGGTGCAGTGTGACTCATCTTCCCTGCTCCCTTTACCTTGTGGAGATGCTGGAAAGGTGACAGCTGTGATGTGACCTGTGTCGCTGGCATGGCTTTGTGTAAGCCCTGGAGACCTTCAAGTCAAAACAACAGACATGAAATATGAAAAGAGTATGATGAGACTTCACGTAGAAGTCACTAACCGACTGTGCACATCCAAATCTCTGTTGCTCCATGCAATGTAGGCATCTTAGAAGGCAGCACAATTGGCCGTTGCGCAAAAGATTTTGGGGGCTCCCCTAGAATTGGTTTTTTGACCCGGTTTTGGGAATTTATTCAAATGTGGCACATGAAGCCATTGCCGGAGCCCGAGTGCCGTGGAGCATGGAAGAAGGAAGGGCACAACTACAACACGCTGTAGTTGTCTCTTCTTCACGTGTGAAGAACCAGCACCATAACCTGCCACTGAACTTCATTCCGCAGCACGGGTGGGAAGTCGTGGACTCGAATGACTCGGCTTCTCAGCACCAAGAGGAGCTTCCTCCTCCTCCTCTGCCCCCCGGGTGGGAAGAAAAAGTGGACAATTTAGGCCGGACTTACTACGTCAACCACAACAACCGGACCACCCAGTGGCACCGACCGAGCTTGATGTGAGTACATGCGGTGGTCCTGCTCTGCACAGTCAGGTACCAACGCAGCGACCCTCTGGGCCGGGGCTGGGCCGGGAAGTCTCACGGCAGTAAGAGCAGGTGGCGGGGTAGCACGACAGGATTCCTCTTCATTTAGGGGAGGAGCACGGGGCACCCAGCATTTGTGTATTTCAAGGAAGAAGGTGTTGCATTTATAGTACGCGCTGCTGTTTTCAACATGAACTGATGTATTTTGCATGGTTTCTGTATATAGATTCCTGAAACACGGAGCAGAGGTTATTTTTCCTAGATTTCCCTTATGTTTGGTGATGATACTGTTTCCTCCCTCTGCAGATTTCTCTCCTGACTCACCCAGAGAGGAAAGCAGCAAGCACATTGGCTTTGCAGTTTTCTGCATTGTTTTTGGATTTTTAGCTGCCTTTGATTATTTGATTTGGAAATCTTCTCAAAAACTTGTTTTTTTCTGTTTTGGGGAAATTTTACTCCCTTAATATAATTAGAAACACATGAGAGGGTTACAGACTCAGAATTAGTTATTACTGTTTATTTTAATCCCTCACCAGCCTCAGGGATGCAGTAAATTGATTGCTGTTTTGTTCCCTCCACAGTTTTTGGTTTGATTGATAGCAAGTAAACACTAGTTAAAGCACAACTCCTATCAAAATGGTTTTGAAGCAGCTTGTTGTTAAGTCATAATATACAGCAAGACCTCAGCCAAGACGAGGAGGTGTAGTTATCAATTGAATTATATGATTTTCAATATGTAGTATTAGGTAAGGTGATTTTTTTTCTTCAACCCAGACTCTGAAACAAATTTGCTAACGATGCTTTTTTGACAAGTGGTATTAGTAGTATGGTGGATGTTGTTCTTAAAAACCCTTTTGCCTTTAGAAATTGTGGAGATATTCTGCATATGACTGTGGGTGGGCAGGGTGGCCACATTGTCTGGCCTAGGTTTTAATGTAGAGACAAAGCTTGCAGATGTAGAATACCAAATAGCTGATCCTCTCTGCGCCCCCAGAGGAGTCTCATGAATTGTTGGCTTCAGACTGCCCAGCATGGGCTTTAACTCGTGGTCCCAGGACAGCATAAATATCACAACATCTGAGTGATGTTAATCTATCTTTTGTTAAAATTTTTTCACCTAAAAATATAAACCGAAATGGTTTAGTTGATTTTTTTTTTATTTTATGTATTTTTTTCTTTTTTCTTAAGTCAGGGTCTTGTTCTGTTGCCCAGACTGGAGTGCAGTGGCGTGATCATATCTCACTGCAGCCTCCAGCTCCTGGGTCAGGCAATCCCCCCCACTCAGCCTCTTGAGTAGCTGGGACCACAGGCATGCACCATCACACCTGCCTAGTTTTTATATTTTCTGTAGAGATGGGGTCTCACTATGTTGCCCAGGCTGGTCTCAAACTCCTGGCCTTCAACTCCTGGCCTCAAGTGATCCTCGACCTCCCAAAGTGCAGAGATTACAGGAGTGAGCCACTGTACCGGGCCTACTATTTCCTTTTTGTTAATGACCATAGCTATTAAAACTGTCTTAAGCCATTATGGCTATTTGTAGTAAAAACAACTTTGGGTGCACCACGGACTTGTTTTTTGTGTAGTGATGAGAAGAATCTTGGTAGCAGTACCCTACACGGAGCACCATTATCTAAACAGCCTGGGAAAAGAAGTGCCTGGAAAGGTAGACTCTGTGTTGACCTCTGCAAAAAACCGAGAGCCACCCACTAAGGAAGAAATACTAATAGCTAATTCATATATGGAAAAGTGTTCAACTTTGTTAATAAGTATCATGCAGATTGAAGTCTTTATTTTTGGAACAAATGGGGAATAATTGCAGCTTTCTCTACCACAGTTGTGAAACTCTAATGAGGGAAGACACTTCATCCATCTTTCTAAATATACTGCCTTTGTGATGGTTTCATCGATGTACTTAATCCCCAAACTCATCACGATGTACACATTAAATATGTACAGCTTTTTATGTGTCAGTCAGACCTCAATAAAGTTGTTTTTGAAAAAGATACCATCTTTGGTGGCATCATCCTGAAGAACCAAACTAACAAGATAAAACTTGGGCAGGGCTCGGTGGCTCATGCCTATAATCCCAGCACTTTGGGAGGCTGAGGCAGGCGAATCACTTGAGGCCACGAGTTTGAGGCTGCAGTGAGCTGTGATGGCACCACTGCACCAGCCTGGGCGACAGAACCAGAGCCTGTCTCTCTAAAAAAAAAAAAAAAAAAATAGTATAACTTTTATGATGCTGGCTCATCCTCAGCCCAGAAACAACAAGGGAAAAATGTAGTTCTTAATCCAAGTTCAGGTTCACATGTAGTTGAGAGAGAAGTCAGCGGCATGACTATCCTCATCTGTGAGGCAGCAATGCCAAAGGGAGAGGCTGAGCCAGGAAGGACGTCAGCAGAGCTCAGTGGAACGCAAGGAGTGACTCCTTTTCAATGGGCGTGACTTCTAGAAAGAGAGAGAGGGAAAAGCCACGACAAACCTCTTCGTCCCATGTGAACTGTTTATGAATTTGGGCCACTGCTTTCTTTTGAACTTTATTTGCCTTGGCCAGAAGCCCTTGGTCCTCCAGATTTATTTTTGAGAATTGTTTGAATTCAGAAGTAATTTGTTTCCCAATTCAGTTTTTACAAAACGCTAAAGCTCCCTTTGGAGGAAAATTGATATTGTCAGGAAGTGTTTTTATTAAAAGGCTGTACTGCGAGAGTCAGATGGTGATAACCACGAGCTAAGCAAAAAATTAAGACTGTCTTGGTGACGCCTTCTGGCCCAGTTTGCTATAGTCTTGTGTCCCACACTTTGGCCCACTGAAAATGGGGTTTTGTTTTGTCTTGGACTTACTATTGCTCTCAGGACGTTCGTACGAGGTCCTTGTGCACCCGGGTCCCTTCCTTTCTAGACGTGCTACCCAGAGCCATAAGCATACCCTTCATTCCATGGTCTCACCGTGGACAGTGGCGTTCCCCTTGCTTCCTCTTGTTCCCGAGTCCTGTGGACATGGTAATATTCCTTCCCCCCAAAATAAACAAAAACCTAGAGCACACTCCTCCACCTGGCTAACTCAGAGGTCTCAGCTAGGAGCCTTCCCCTGGGCGTTCGCCCCTCCTGTCCAGGTCTCCCCCAGCGTTGCCTGGAGCACAGATTATTCTAATTGCCTTTTGGGCTGGGACCATATTTTCTTGTTTACGTAGCTACCCCTCCTGCCTGGCACAGAGTAGGAGTTCAGCAAAATACATTTCAAACAGGTGAAGGAGGAAAAATGAGCCCTTTCTGAAAGTGATTAGGACCACATGGACCACATGGTTTAGTGAACTGCCTGGGCCAGGTTTGGGCCTAGACTCTGAACTTGAGAACGGAGGGTCACCCTAGAAGAGCCCCCAGCCCTCTCACGTCTGGTGGGCGGCTTTTAGAACACCTCTAGTTTTAGATTTATCCCTCTCTTCTTTAAATGTAACCTGTAAACTTTTTACTATAAACACAATTTTCAAAAAATAAGCTGAAGAAAGTATGACATTCTGTAAATGAAGATGAAGTTGTTAAACACTTTTTTAAAATCCTTTTTGTTATAAAACACAATGTACATCTTTTGACTTGGTAATTTAATCATATCTGGACAACTCTGGTCATCATTACACTAATACATTTTGAATATAAATTAGACACACTGGCCTCAAGTGGCACTGAACTTGATTTCTTGATAAACTGATAGGGTTTTTTTTTTATTATGTGTGTATTTCCCATGGAAGTCAAATGAAGAATGTATATGTGAAATTAATTAACTGAAGAAAAATTGAAGTAACCACTTCTTCAGTTATCTCCTTACCTCCAATAAAGTAATTTTTCTTGTTTCAGAAATATTTTAAAATGATCGTCTTCCCATTAGCTCACTGGGATCTGGATCTTCTGGGCTAAAGGGATCCTCCGGCCTCAGCCTCCTGAGTAGCTGGGACCCTGGCCTCCGCCTCCAGTGCTGGGATTACTGACTTTGAGCCACTGGGCCCAACACCATTAGTGGCTATTTAAACTTCTAGTCAGTTTTAACAACTCTCACTGACCTTCTTAATTAGATGCAAAAGCCTCCCTTGTATGAACATTATCATATTATCACTTAAGACCATAAAAGCCCCTGATTGGAATTTCAAAATCAGAGGTATCTTCTCCTGCTGTTTAGTTGTTTCTGCTTCACACTGGTTACTCGTTGTTTGAGCATGTTGGATAAGGAAGATTGACATAATTAATTTTAAACATACCCTCTTTTTTTCTTATCCTCCCAGAGTAATGGAGTTTTATATACCTCTAAAGGATGTGAGATGCAGACATAGTAATATCAAAGGTTTATTTTTCCCAGCCTATCAGAAGTCATTGTTAGAATTCAACTAGTGCAATATTGAGTGCACCGCATGTAGGGTAGGACCTCACACATAGTAGGTCTGCAAATCTTAGTCCCTCAGTGTTGACTGAATAAAAGCCATGACTGACATTGTAAGGGAAGATTTCAAATTTTGATGAAACTCTTAGATATAAAATAGTTTCAAGTAAGGCTGATTATTATAAAGTGGAATTGCTTTCATCCTTAATTAAAAGTGTTGGGGGGGAGGGCATTTATTGAAACCTTAAAATCTGTACCCCCATAATATGCCGAAATAAAAAAAAAATTATAAAAAAAAAAATAAAAAGAAAAAAAGTGTTACAGGGAACCGAACAGCATCTTCTGCCTTCTTAGACACCACTGAAATGGTTTACATATTTCATAAATGTATTAGGATCATTTTCCTTCCAAGTTTCATCCTGTTATATAATAATGTATAGTTTTTATAATCATCGTAAGCTTAAGAACTGAATGTCATAAAAAGGACTACAGTAGCAACATAGAATCACAAAAAGTATTACGTTTTTCTAACATTTCCAACAAAGTGCCACTTTTAATCATTCTGTTTTTGCAGTCTGAGAAGTTTTATTAGTATGCTGTGCATCCCTTTGTTTTAATTATTTTCTCTATGGCCATAGTTAATGTCAGTTTTTTCTGAAGACACCTCTATTATCTTACTATTTTAATCATTACAATTTACTATAAGATATGTAGAATATATATTTCTGTTAGAGTACAAAATTTTGTACTGGATGTGCGAGTACAGCACTTCACTGAGACTTTAATAATAAGGAATTATAATTTAAATGTGGATTAAATGGAAGCTAACCTTCACACTATTGCCTTTACTAATAAAGTTAATAGTATAAAGATGTTTAATGGAACTACTTAAACAATTTTGGAAACTGGTGTTAAAAAGTCACCTATTTATTTGCAAGCAGTGTTGCCACTTGCAGACTGTTCGCTACTACAGGAACCTAGAAAGTTCTTTATTGGGACAATAGTAGAACTTAGTTTGAGAATGTGTTAGAAAACTTTAAAACCTATTGTGTAGAAAGAGTCTATAATAAAAGCTCTTGATTAATACTGCATTTAATCTGAAACAATATTTCCAATTATTTTGAGATACTAATTTTCAACATAATTTTTGTTAACTGAGTATGGTGTCTCATTGAAAGTATACATGGGAGTTTTCTCTGAAAAACATTTTGGCATTTAAACTTCTATCATAAAAGCCTTGACTAGTATTTCCTCAAAAAATGATTTTTGCAGTAAATTATAGACAAAGTTTTCAAGATTGAATTGATGCTTTCATGTCCTGAATTTTGAGCATAATATGACAAAAAATAGGGTATGATGTTGTAGTGTTTTTCAAATCCCAGTTGACTTGGGGAGTTTGGATGTTTATTTGGATTTTTAAAAGTAGAGTAAGGAGGGAAATGCAATGCCACGATTCAGTCGCAATGAAATAGAAAGCAGCTGAAAGTGTTCTTGTTGGACCAGGAGGAGGACTTCCCCCTAGAATAGCAGCTTTGCGTTTGTACCATTTGTTGTAGGCTTTGGTCAGTTGTGGGTGACCAAAAGTAGCTGCCTTGTGATTACCAGACCCGAGGAGGGTGGGGACTGACTGGCTGTGGTGTGACCTTGCCTGTCACCTCTCCTTGCAGAGGCCTCATTTGTCGCTGTGGCAGATGGGTGGAGAACTTTGATTTCTGTTCTTTCTAAAACACTAAAAAGTATGGTTTGAAGTATATGGCTGAAAGATGCTCAGAATGTCGCGGCCGGTGCAATTAGAAACTGCATTTATTTGACTCGAATGGACTCTGCACTACCCGTAAGCCGAGATGCGGTGGAAGAGCTCTCGGACCCAGAGGCCAGCCGGCGGTCAGTGTCGCCGGACGCAGGCGTTTTCTGGGAGGGGCGGGCCCTTCGTGAGCATGGGGCTGTCGTGAAGGGCCGGCTCTCAAGTGCTTCTCCTCCTCCTCTCCCCCTCACCTGTGCACGCTCAGGGACGTGGCCTCGGAGTCGGACAGCAACATCAGGCAGATCAACCAGGAGGCGGCACACAGGCGCTTCCGCTCGCGCAGGCACATCAGCGAGGACCTGGAGCCCGAGCCCTCGGAAGGCGGCGATGTCCCCGAGGTACGACATCCCCAAGTGCTGGCTGCCGAACCGCGCAGCTCTCTCTTCCCGTGTTCCCCAGGTCGACTTCATGTGGCCGTTTCTTCTCTCCGTAAATGTTGTCGAGAATGTAAAGATTATGGTCTCACAGAGAGCTGATTACCATCTGGATTGTTAATTAATTTAGAAAGCGCTTATAAAAGCCATGTTTGATTAAGTACATATGGCTGTGTATCGTCACAAAAATGAATGGCGTTATTTTTAGTATGAAAATATTAAGATATTTTCACTTGGTAATTAATTTTTCCCCAGAGTCTGTCTAACCAAATCTCATTAAGTGATAACATGGGGTGTCATTTGCACCATTAAATAAGCCCTGTAACTTGTTTGGGCATTATACACAAGCTTTTACTGAGTTGTTTCGGCACCTTAAAAGAGATCTATTACCAAGAAAATACAAATTTGGGTGAATAGAAATGTTTATAATTATCCCTCTAAATGGTTATGGTAAATTACCGGGAAAAAGTATGAATTAAACAGCAGATTAGCAATAATATTAACTTCCCTGCTGTCTTATCATCTCTGTTGACTTACTAGAAATCCGTTCTTTTCAGACATTGTGTTGAGAAGTTGATCATTCACAAATGTTGCAGTGATCAAAATTGGGAAAGCAAAATTAATGATTCCATAACAAATTTACTATACGTTACTTTACACCAGTGTTTAATTATAGCTTATGGCATCTGTGCTGCCTTCATTGTGAATCTTTAGCAGTTGGAGTAAAAGAGAATTGATGAAAATCATTTATAAACTCCCGAGAAGGTTGTTTTAGCCCGTGCGTATAGTCGCAAGTGCGGGACGCAGTCGCCACACAGAGTGGTGGTTTTATGATATAATAAAGCGGTTCAGGGCACGGCCTCAAGATGCAGGCTGCTGGGTGCACAGCGTGGCCCTGCCACTTACTGGCGGTTCCTTTGGGCAGGTCACTCTCTGTGCTTCAGTCTCCTCATCTGTCAGTTGGGGCAGTCGTCACCTCTTCCTCGTGATGGTTGTAAAGATTGCGTGCCTCGTAAGCACAGTAGACGTTAATTATAGCCGTCGTGATGGTTATTGTTGTTGCGTGTTTCTGTTGGGGAGGAAGTGGGTGGGCCTCCAGGTCCTACCATTTACCCCAGTGTCTCGTTCCCTGAAAGCCTTGGGAGACCATTTCAGAGGAAGTGAATCTCGCGGGAGACTCCCTGGGGCTGGCTCTGCCCCCGCCGCCCGCCTCCCCCGTGTCTCGGACCAGCCCTCAGGAGCTGTCAGAGGAGCTGAGCAGAAGGCTCCAGATCACTCCGGACTCCAATGGGGAACAGTTCAGTTCTTTGATTGTAAGTAGTGACCTTGTGGGAAAGAAAAGCTGAGCAATATTTTATCCGTTTTTGTTGCTTTAGGAGAACCTTGTATGCATATAACAACCCAGGGTCTTCAGTTCCCAGTTAACTCTGACATTTTCCAAAGTTCATCCTTCCCTAGAAGAGGAAGGACTATACTAAAATTAGCCCAAGCAGGTGAGACTCTTTCTTGATTTGGAAGGCAACTGTGCCCACCCTATACCACTAACACTCTTTCTTGGCTTATAAAGAACCCAGAGGAATAGATTCCATGACTTCTGTTATTATCAGCTTGAACCTTATAGAATTTCTTTCCCAGCCAAAAGTCTCATAAAAATAGTTCCTTCGTCACAAAGCTAGTATATCACAGTAGAAATTAAGAGCCATGGGGCCTCCTAATTCACGCTCTTAAGCCACACTCTGCATGCTTTGTCATTCTCAGTTCACAGATGAGGGCCTGGCGTTCAAGTGGCCCACCCAAGACAAGGTTTGAATGGGAGATAGAAGACATCTCCTAAGGCCCAGAGTATGAACCCTTATGAAAGGTGGTGAAATTGTGACACTGGCCTCAAGGTAGCATTTGAACTTGGGTTCTCAACCATCATAGACAGACATAGAAGCTTCAGGTGGGACTGAGCCCCAGTGAGAAGCAGAAGAATCAGCAATGAAGACCTGCACATTTGACAATATAAAACTGTGCAGAAATAGCCCAAAGAGAATTCCTGCTTGTGCATAGAATTAAGAGGAAATACAATCTCAGTGTTATCTCAAGAAATTGAACTTAAACATGTACTATAAAAAAAAAATGATAGTCACTCCACTGACAATGGCATCCTAGAAAAAAATAGTGATTATTATGATCATATCAAACGTAAGTGCTAAGAGGATTGCATAAAGTATGAAAGCAAGTAAGTACTCACAAAATTATTACTTCTTCCATTATGGTGTTTTTATTTTTAAAGCCACCATGGGGCCCTGTTATGTGAGTTGCAGTGATGACTCAGTTAAGGTGAATAGTAATTAAAATTCTGCAAATATTTTTCAAAAAGGAAAATACCATTGACATTAAAATTGAGTATTAGTATAAAAGAGATTGCATATGTGGAATATTTGAATTGGTAAAACTATTGCTATGGAAACAACTTAAGCAATGAAACGATATATTTAAAACCTATAAACACAAGGAAGTACCACAGAAACCATAGCAGTTAGACACCTTTAGTCAACCAAGTGAAAAACATCGTAATTTTCTTTAGCAGTAAGTTAGCACTTCTAGTGATTTCTATTGGGAGTTCCTGCATTTAATTTTTCTAGACTCATGAAATAGCCTTAAGACCCACATGCAATACTGTGCTGTTTTCACGTTGTGTTAGCTATTAAATGAGAGTGTTGACTATGGAACTCTTCTCCAGATTCCCTTTATCTGGATCACTCCAAATTCAAGGACAATAGCATGAACTTTTACTAAAGAGTGACTCCATCATGCAAACCAGCATAGGAAGGCGTGTATTGTCCCTCAACCCCACCACAGAGCCTTTCCTGGACCTTATCCCATTTTACTTACCATTGCAAAATATTAAAAATTAGCAAATGCTGCAAACCTGTACCATTCATTGATGAATCTGCTCATAGGAGACGCACCTTCTATGCATGACCTACTCATCTTTGTCTATAATCTGTTAGGCTTTATTGAACCACATCCACATAGACTAATGCCAACAAGTGGGAGGAACATTATGCATTACACAGTAGATTTTTTGGTTTGGATCAACATCACTGTTTTCACTCATTGCTTAGCCTTATTACTTGAACTCCACTCAGAAGCTAAAATTATAAATGCCTGATCTTTCAGAAGTAGGACAAGATGATACCTGAGTCTCTCTGGATATAGAAACCAACTGATTCCTTGTCAGTTGTGATAGTAAATGTTTAGTAGCCGTATATCACTGTTTCTTCCTCTTTTTTCCTCTGTATTTGTCACATTAGAATTTACCCAGAGGTTGCATCCCACGGCAGAATTCAAGGCTGCTAACTCCTGGTTTCTGTGTACAAAGCAGCACCAGTGCGTTGCTGGGGCCCGACCAAGTCTCCTTTCCGAAAGTATGGGTCTCCTGTCACTTTTGCCACTAATTCTAAAAACCAATCAAAACTCCAGTCTTCTTAAAACACTGTGAAAAAAATTAAAGTGGAAGGTGGTTCGACTTTTTAAAGGATGGCTCTCATTGTTCCGAAAAAACGTTTTCCGTTTAGTTTCCTCCCAGTGTTGAGGAGGGGTGGTGCGTGGGATTGAGGATGTGTTTGTGAAACCAGTGAAACCCGTTTCTGAGAGTACGTTTCTTGTTGCTTCTGTCTTTTCCTCCCCTGCAGCAGAGAGAGCCCTCCTCGAGGCTGAGGTCTTGCAGCGTCACGGACGCGGTTGCCGAACAGGCGCATCTCCCACCGGTAACCTCCGCTCGTTTCCAGTCACCTGTTGGCTTTTTCGGCACTTACCTAAAATCATCTGGGCCGCTGTGCAAAGAGTTTTTCCTGTGCAAATCCATTTACCATACAGATAAGACCTTTTAAAATTTCCTAGCCAATTGCCCGAGAAGAGTGGATTTCCAATACAAAGAATTGTCATTGCCACCAAAGTCTCTAAAATGCTAGAACTTTCATTGCTTTAGTTTTTCACCCAAATTTATACCAATTTCGAAGGTACTTGCTCCAAGTACGTGGTACATTAATAATTCCTTTTACTTTACCCGGCACTCTGAAAACACAGTGAATGCTTTTAAACAGGAAGAACTCTTCCGGGTGGCCAGCCAAAGATCCTCTCCATGCCAACGGCGTAAACTCCTAACTCCACAAAGCTTCTGGATCTTCTCTTTAAAGGCAGCTCTACCGGCCAAAGAATTAGCTATAGTTTTTTTCCAACTCTTCCATCATTTTAATAGCTGTCAGCAAATTTAGAAGTGCAAGGGATGTAATAATATCCAATATAGAGAGAAATAAATATTCACATTGGAAGGCAGACTAGAACTGCCTTGGGAGATGTTTGATGTACACATTAAAAATAAGAAATTTTGGATAAGTTTATTTCTTCTTTTAGAGGAGAAAATATTACGTGGTTTTGATGTGTTCAATTTGATGGTTTACTACAAAAGGTTTACTACAAAACCTTGATCGTTTTTGTGATTAATACTGTATTATGTATGAGTTTGAGGGGGAAAAAGTGCATTTAAGGTTTTTGGAATCACAATGTCTTCCCTCTTGTATACACATTTGCTTGGCTTTAAAGGATATTTTTGCCGAGGCTTTAGTCTTCTATGTTTAAAAAAAATGAATTGATGAGTATACTAGTTAGGTAAATAGATTGAATTGTGACTTACACCAGATAATAACTGGTGAATAATAAGCTTGGCAAGAGCATCCTTTCTGGGATGGTTTAAGTACAGTCCCCCACCCCACTCCTGCCCCGCTCTCCCCCCAAGACAGAACAATCAGCTGGGGGGGGGGGCAGGTGGGACCCTTTTCAACCTGATGATTTGGTGATTTTCCTTGAATGAATGGCACTTTCTCTCTCTTTCAAAATTGATACCAATTTTATTTGCCAAAGAGCTCACTTTCCTGGAAACTGATGATTGCTCCCTTTTCCCAGTACTCCATGATGCTGTCAACTCACTGATCACCAGTGGCCCCTCGAGTTTTGAGTGTGGCAGATGTAAGACTCTGCTGATTGTTTGACAATGAGGTCAAAACCAGACCAGTTTTCCATTTTTCCCTAATAAGACATCTCACTTTGTCGAGGTGGTCATTTTTCACCCAGATCCAGGATACAGCCTAAGCCATCTCAGGGTGGCTTGGGGTGTCCTTGTTTGGAGGGGGGGGTCGTGCTTCCTCTGTGCTGCTGGTCATCAGTGACTGCCCAGCCGGGTTTGGACAGGGTGGATTTCAGGGATTCTGATCTCACATCACCTGCCTTTCCACACTGCCACTGCAGTGACTCCTGATTGAGTAAGCCGTGGGCCGTCCCCTAAGTGCATTTCACTGATGTGAGTTGTCATTTACAGCCCAGTGCCCCAACTAGGAGAGCACGGTCATCAACTGTCACAGGTGGTGAGGAGACAACGGTAATGACACTTACTTTATCAGACATTCATGACAAAAGTGGGGGCAGTTGTAATGTTTTGTGTGATGGTGAATATTTGTTCTCTTTTTAAAAATAAGACCAGCTTCTTTGTACTACAGATCCACATATGTTATTTTAAACTTCTCATTTTGGGATTGTTCAAAGGTGCTAGAATAAACTAGAACGATTTTCAGTTCCAGACAATTTTGTTAGGAATACTGGCAGGCCTTAGTTCAGTGTGATTAATTTGACCATTTAGAATATATTTTTGCCTTTTAGTGTTTGTACTCCTGGTGAGCTTTTCCTTTTTTATTAGAATGCTTGGTTAAAATAATTTGGGTGTAAGATAATGAGAGAAGCCACGAGAATGGCATGAGGTTGTAGGTGTGATTCCTAGCTGTGTACAGAGCTGTTCTCTCCTGTATCTCCACGCCACGTTTTTAACAGGGGATTAGATTTTCTGTATCTCCAGTGTGAACCAGTGACCTTTCTCTGCCACCAGGGCTCTACGCACAGAAATGAACAAGTGTTCATACAATTCTGGGGTGGGAAGCATAATTAACAATATTTAAGTGGTCTAGAAATACCGGTGTTTCTCCAAACCAACTATCTATTATTCTTATGCACTATTTTGAATAATTTATAGCATTCATGTTTGTGGGTAACTTATATTAGACTATGTATTTTAATTGCCTCTTTTCTACTTGATCCCTAAAGCCAGGCTAGCTACTGGTCTGTGCTTTGAGCTGTTATAGCTATTTGGAGAATTTCCTTATTGTTTCACCTTTGTTGTGTTTGCTGTAACTGCTCACTACTTGTGAATAACTTTAACTACATATACAATTGCTGATTGTCTGGAGGTTGATGATTTACAGGAACAATTTAGTTATATTGTTAGAATTTAATGCTCAGTATTGTACAGAGGAGAATCAAATTGGCAATCAGTGACAATCAGCCCAGTTTAAGGTATTGAACTACAGTAGCTTATGTGAAATTCATGTGTTGGGTGAGCCAGCCTCCAGAAAAATTCAAGGGGCTCTAAATGAACTAGCATATTTCCTACTGTGCATAAGTAATTTCTATGGGAGCAACAGAGCTGCAAGGTAGGCAAGATCATTTCATGAAAGAATTTCAGCAGAATTCAGTGCTGATGAATATCCTCTCTGTATCACCTATTTTTGCATTTTTATTGGCCTTGCAACCTTCTTTCAGCTTTGGAGTGTTGTGATATCTGATGTAGTAAATGGAAGGATAAATCAATTATTGTAGTGCCAGGCTCTATGGTCAGAGTTACCTGGCAGGGCCGAGTGCTCTATCCTGAAAGAGATCCCATGTGACTCTTAAGACCACACTTTTCTTGCCTTCTTGCTTATACTCTCCCCTCCCCATCAGTGAGTTAAAATGTGGGTTTGCTTTCTTTTTTGATTTGTCAAGACTTGGCCACAGGAGCTCCTACTCTTACGAATTAGTTTCTCTGTACCTAGATAAGTTTGAAAGGATCACATCTATTTCTCTTCTGCTGTGTCCTGAATGTTTCTCTTCCATATCCTTCATCATGAATGCCTTTGACCTTCTCTCTTCCAGCTCTCTCTTAATACTGCTTTTCCTTCTTTGACACCCTCTCCCTTTCCTCTCTATATCCCCGCCTGCTGGAACTACCCTGGGGTGTATCATCTCCCCCACTGTGCTCTCACAAGCATACATGTGTACACATGTGCACACATTGTGCCGCTTTCTTTTATTTTAGAAAATTTGGATGTCATGCACAATTATTCAGCAACTTGATTTTTTTTTATTTATGGCCATTCTTCGGGGACATATGAATAACTACATAATGTTCAGTAATGTGAATGCACCACAATTTATATAATTTTTCCATATTGAAGGGCATTCAGCCACCCCCAGCCTCCAGCCCACCCCCACTCCGGCTCTCTGCACTGTTGGGTGGCCATCCTGGCATACCTATCTTTCCGTGACAGTGATAGTGCCTTCTTTTGCATAGTATTAATATGATGAACAGGCCCTGATCCTCACCTGAGAAACCACAGTCCTTTGATTTATGGCAAATAAATGTACACGGCTGTCGCTTCCCAGCAGGCTGAGCCAGGGCCCTCTCTGGGAGACAGAGGAGAGAGGGGACAGCACAGTCCCTCTCAGTCTTCACTGTGTATGTTCTAAAACGTCCAGAGGCACCAGTATGGCGAGTCTTGGAGAATCTGTGATGGTCAGTGTCACAGTGGCTATTTATAAAAGCATTTTGAAACGTCGACAGTTTAGTATCGAGTTCTTTATTTTAACAGAAGTAATGCAGCCACTCTGAAGCTCTGGTCATCATGAAACAGTATTTTCAGTCTATAGATGGAAAGCTATGAAATGTTAAGCTAACTAGCAATTTTTAACTTAGTTCTGGAGGTAACATGGAACTTGCACATTTGCACAGAGCAGAAGTCTGATTTTGGCCACAAGGCCAGCCCCTGCCGTGGTCTGTCTCTAGAAGCTGTGTCCTGCCCTCCTCACTAGCCGTGTGGAGTGGGAGGTGAGGTTTTGAGTCACGAATGGAATCGCTAGCACAGGTTGTTCTACATGCTCCTTTGGAGAGAACACTGTTAGAAAAAAACATTTTGAGAACACCATCACACATAAATGCAACTAAATTGCAGGTTGCTAGTTCAATTCTCAGTAAAAGGGAAAATAAATATTTTAATCAAATCCAGTGTTCTCTACTACACTCCTAATTTTTCATAAACTGATTAGTCCTGTTAACTGTGGATCTGTGAAAGTAACCTGGTTGCTGGAATTGATAACAGCTTTAGAATTCAATTCTGAGATTATCTATGACACATCCAAGCTATCAATCTGCCACATAAACATCCTTCCAGGGAATGCTAGAACTGAGTTTTCTGAAGTCGTATCTAATTGCCTCTCCCAAAAAATAGCTCAACAGGGAGGGGGAAAAAGTAACACAATCCATTTAGTATTCCATTTGACCAAAACATTTTTAGCCAGTTGCATAAACAATAGTAGATCAAAACGTGATAGCACATAGTTTGCCAAAAGTATTAATTGACAACTAACTGAGGTTATAACTTGAGTTACTAATTTAGTTTAGCGGAGTAGATTTTTTAAGTGTCCAGATCAAAGTAGCCTAGAGATGGCTCTTTTGTGTTGGTATCACAGCTAGAGCAGGGACATGAGGAAAGGGCTTCATTGGGGCTGTACTCTAATTTATCTGCCTTTAGCTCTCAGGAAGGGATTCAGTCTGTGCGTTGCTGTTTCTTCTGCTCTTGTTGAATCTCCACACCTGGGTCCAGAAGGCTTGTATGGTCAGGGTCTTGAAATTATCTTTATGGAGCCTTTAGGATATTATCTGGAAAAATGCCAACAAAATGGTTGCCCCATTTTTAGCAGGAAGTTTAATTACAAATAATCTAAAATCAGCTGCCTCATGATTGATTATGAAATTAATTTTTCTCTGAAATGTGCTGTTAAGCTGATGAAGTAGAATATCAGATCTCTCTAGGTGGCGTCCCCAGATCACCTGGTGCTTTCTCTAATTCAAGGTCTTAAGGTCCGCTGAATGGCCTTTTTCACTAAGGCACGTTGTTGGTAGTGAACAGAAGAGATACCATAAGTACAGGAAGAGGCTGGGTTAAGGGGAAATGTATGTCCTCAGCCTAATGTCAAAACAACACCTGCTAAAATAGCTAGAGGGTCAGGAGAAGATCCTAATTAGGGAAGGGAGTACCCCAAAATAACCTCACATAATAGGTTATTCCTAATGTTTGGGCTCCTGTTTCTTTCACATTCTCCCAGGAGTCTCAGTGCAGTTGTGATTGGGGTATTGTTTCCGAGCCCCTCCCCACATGGAACACTCTCTCCCAGATAGAGATTTTTTTATGTAGCACCTGTGTATCCAGAACTTCCTGGGACAGCCGTGATCTCTAACATTGATCCCAATGCCTCTGCAAATCATTGACATTTCCCTGCTATTCCAGTATTTCTCCATCCAGGCTGCATTTCTCAGACTGCTTCTTACAGGCAAAAGTGTCTCAGGCATCCTTCTTTTGATCCAATTTGTACTGTCCAAATACAGTCACACTACACTGGCCATGTCTCAAACACAGAGACTGCCGATCTCTGGCCACCCTTCAGAGAGACACTGTCAGTGGGCTGGGGTCACCCTAGCCTCAGGTGCAAGGCCCCTTCGGAATTCTTACCTTAGGTGGCCAGGGGACTCCCTGAGCTGGGGCATGCAGATGATCTGAGTGGTCCTCAGGATTCTGTGCCATCATGTGACTGCAAGCTTCCTAGAGAAGGGGCTCTGTGTTGGGTTTTTAGTTTTTGCCCTGACAGCTATAGTGTAAGGTCCTAAGCTGATGGGAAAATTTAGGACTAAGCTAGGAGAGCCCCCCCCCCCAATGGCATTGAGAAAAAATCGTTCAGAGCATCCCTCTTATAGATGGTGACACTGGGCAGTTTGAAATACTTTTAAGCTCTACCTGGTTTGGCAGTGAAACTTAGTAACTAGAATGGATTATAATGTTTTCTCTTCCCTTACGAGCACCTTAGCAATGACCCTTTATGTTTAAAGACCGCAGGGTCTTAGAACTGAATTCTGTAAGAATTTCGAACCCACAGTGTGGGGTTCATCTCACAGTATATTTAAAGCTATTGGAAATCTATTGCTGTTTTCCAGACACTCTGAAATGTTTTCTGTACAAGTTGAATTAACTTACTTTGTCTAGAAAAAAATAATGATCTGGATGTACGTTACTTTATGAAACTGATTAGAAAACAAATGCAAGTTATTAAATAATGATGATTTCTTGCACAAACAGCCATCAGTGGCCTATGTACATACCACGCCGGGCCTACCTTCAGGCTGGGAAGAAAGAAAAGATGCTAAGGGGCGCACATACTATGTCAATCATAACAATCGAACCACCACTTGGACTCGGCCTATCATGCAGGTACGAAGACCGCCATACCACTTAAAATCGCAGGCTCTAGAAGCCAAAGTGTACTTGCCGTACTTCCCGTTCCTGGTGTTTATGAACTGTTCTCAAAGACCCATGTTTAAAGAAAAAGCTTTTTCACAAAGAAAATGCATTACTTTAAGAATGATAATTGCTGATGGCAGAATTTGGTCCTCAAATCAGTCTGTCCCTGAGTATGTGACATGAAAGCTATTTTCGAAGCAAGAGCCTATCACAATGTGTAGCTTCTCCCCCAGGCCCTGCCTTTTATCTGAGGCTAGTTTTTATGTTGGGCTAGTGATTCATTTTTTATTTCCCTTGAATGTGTTTCCCCATCCTTTCCCCCCATTATTATGTTTAATTATTTCCTCCACGCTTTAAATAGGCCAGACCTCTGATTATTGCTGTTTGTGTTGTTGTTTGGGTTCACACTCCTAATCACACACACAGGGAGATCCTCCTATGAAGCTAACTTGTTTTTGCCTCCAAAATAGCTTGCAGAAGATGGTGCATCGGGATCAGCCACAAACAGTAACAACCATCTAATCGAGCCTCAGATCCGCCGGCCTCGTAGCCTCAGTTCGCCAACAGTAACTTTATCTGCCCCACTGGAGGTGAGAAGGCCCCACCGTCTACCTGGGGTCACTTCTGTCCTGTGACTTCTTCTCATTCTTTCTTCTCTCTTAACTTCGACTTCCGTTTTCGCAGCCACCCTCCTCTCTGATCAGTCGTTGTGTTGGTGGTGGAGGGTGTTCTTGTACGGCCTGACCACATGCTTCTCTGTCTCACCCAGTTAACATTCCCGGACTCTCACCCGATTCTCATTCTCATTTGGCTGAGGCCGTGGTGACTTGTGCTGGACGTGGGCACTCTCTTTTTCTTGGAACTTTCACCATTCTTGTTGTGTTTTGCTCCTTATTGCCTATTACCTCATTAGAACCTCATAATAACTCTTTCAAATACTCAGTGCTTATATTGAGTTTCAAACATAGCTGTTGCTTTGATCATTTTTTGTTTTCTTGCGACTGCAGGGTCTTTCATTGTATGGGCATACGTGTTTCCGATGCGTATTTGCATCTCTAAATCATGCTGGGCATCCGCTTGTGCTCTCTGTCGTGTTTGTGTTGTTTTAGTGCCATCCTTTAACATCACAAATGTCAAAGAGTTAGAAAAGCCAGAGAGTAAACGTTTGAAGTCCTAAACCTGCCTGTGTCTAGTGACAGCTGTGGGTGTCTCTGCGCCCCGGGTCAGGATGCTGGTATGAGGGGAGTGGACGATATCTCTTCCAAACTCTAATATAAATGTCACGGGTAACAACTGTGAGATTCCAGGTGGTTGTGTCCATGATGTAGGTTTCTCTTTTTGTGCTCTAAAACTTGCCAATCTATTCTTCGTTAGATTGTGAGCTCATTAAGAGCAGGGGTACGTTTTACTCCCATCTCTGTAAAATCTCCATCCATAATGCTGAAATACAGAATAGTGATTTGGGCATGTACTGAGTGGCTGCCAAAGAATGGTGGTTATAAGTACTTAAGATGGTTGTATGTTTAACCAACAGAAAAAATAAAAAGATTGACTTAAACATAAATGAGTGACAGAAGCAGGTTTTGTAGGAGCTTCTCCTGTGTCCATCCCCAGAGAGGAGCATTCTACAATGCCGGGTACATGTTGACACATCGCAATAGCACGTGATGAAGAGTTCTAATGCTCGTTATTATTCCTTAGGGTGCCAAGGACTCACCCGTACGCCGGGCTGTGAAAGATACCCTTTCCAATCCACAGTCCCCACAGCCATCACCTTACAACTCCCCCAAACCACAACACAAAGTCACACAGAGCTTCTTGCCACCCGGCTGGGAAATGAGGATAGCTCCAAACGGCCGGCCCTTCTTCATTGACCATAACACAAAGACTACAACCTGGGTAAGGCTGCTGCTTTTATTTGGCTCCATTTTCATCTCAAAGTCTGGCGTTCATTCCTTTATGTCCTTGCTCAGTAGTCATCGCTCTTATGGAGGAATTTCATTCACTCTCAGATGTGTCTCCAGAAGGTCTCTGAGCCTGCGCCCCGACTCTGCAGGTGCGGGCTGGTGGGAGCGGCGGTGCAGGCACGGGCTGAGAGCCGTCTTTGGAACTGGTGCCAGGTCGCCTTTGCTAGTAGCACCAAACTGCCTTTGCTAGTAGCACTCCTGGCAAGCTCTAGGGTAGACCATTCGCCATATTTGGAAAATAAAGGTAGCACTCCATGTTGCTAGGATTTTGATTTTACTACATCACATCTCTTCCTGGATGTATTGCAAAGTTGGTAACAAGAGAAAAAGAAAAGAAAAAAACACATCTCATGACATAATTTCATTAGGAATTAAAATCATTTGTCAAAGAATTTTTTCTTCATCAGTTTCTTTTTGCATTTTTATTGACATTACCCATCTTCATTGGATTTGTCACTTTAGTTTTTGCTGTTCACGTCGGATTGGTGTTGCACATTTCTGTTCTATACATTCATTCATTTCATCGTGGGTTAGGAGATATACTGAATGACTTTGTAAATCTGGTAACTCTTTTCTGTGAACATTTTGTCAGAATTGATTTTTCTTACCATGCTGCTTTTTTCATGTGCTCCTGAGTCATACACGAGAAAGAATCTGTATGTTGAATTAACTTGGGCCAAATGCCAAAGGTGAATATGCATATCTTTGTATGTCTCTGCCAGTCCTTCATTTCGGTAGTTGGATCAGTACTGGCTTTTTCCATTTAGCATATAGTTGGAATTTTTCTACTATATCATCCCCAGATCTGTAATTAAACTGAAATTGTTTCTCTTAAATTTCTGGCTATTTTTAATGCTGCAGACAGTTTGTTTTTCTTCCTGTTCCTTATATCCCCATGTAATTGTCTGGGTAGATTTAACTCGGTTTAACTTAGTCCTTCTGTTATCTTGCTATCTTTGCCTGACATTACTGGAATGCTGGCTGCATTTTGGGGATTATCTTTGGCCCTAGCTCTTTGGTCCTGGATCAAGAATGGACACTTTACGTTCTTGCTTCTAGTGATGACACCCAGTGTGTCCATTTGATAGAGCAGCAGTGTCATGTTAAGGACAAGGCCTTGACCAAGGTGATCTGCACTGTCATTTTACCCTCTGCCCATGGTGTGATACTCATTCAGTCCATTGAGATTGATCTAGAGGGTGCTTCCTCTAAAATCTATGGATCAGGGGATACTGTGTCTCCTTGAGGGCATCTTGGCATTTGGGGCAGGACTGTGCCTGCACCTGAAGGTCATTTAACAACCTCAGCTCCTGCCGCTGAACGACGATAGCCACTGTCACCCCCCACCCCAACAGTGATAGCCACCGTCACCCCCCACCCCAACAGTGATAGCCTCACACGTTTCCAGACACCCCTGAGAACCACTCCAAGAGCCCTTTCTATTTTGAAGTAAAGGAATGGCCTGCCAAGAGAGTTTATCATTTAGATCTGGTGACATTCATTTCACAGACTGATAACTGTTAATACTTCCAAGGCATATAATGACATGTAGGTTTGTTTGACTCACCTTTTAGTCTGAAGATAAGGTTACAGGTTTGTGGGCAAGACTTTGAGAGTAAGTGACAGGCAGCTCTTTGGAAAACAGATTGATTTTTATGTCTTTTTTTTCTCATTGCCATAGAGCCCGTGGCTGTTCTGCTAGCGTTCCCGTTAACTATAGCACTGCTGTAATTCCAAATCCTCAGCCAGAAATTGGGGCTCCAGAAATAGGGGGCAAATATTATAAAAGCAGATGGATTAGTGTATGGAGCCACTGTGGCTTGCCAACATAAGCTATGATTTTAGTAACTCGAACTGGCTTAGTAATCAAATCCCCTAACCTTTTCACAGCCTTTCACACCACAACTGCCGTGTAATTGCAGCTGGGCAGCTATTTTAATGGCAATAGCTTTATTTATTGCCTGCGTCCTTGCTGAATGCAACCCAGTTTTCAGTTCCATTTGTCCCTTTTTACCCAGATACTTGTTATCGACTCATTTACTAATGTAACATTTCAGTTTGTTACAACCACGTTTTGTTGCTGCCATAGTGGGAAAGCCTTAAGGTTAACAACTGGAAATTCCACAAGTTACTGCCCTTCTTCACTAAACGCAGACATGCTGGCACAGCTGTGTCACTGACCTCTTCTAAACAAAGGCCTGGACAGAATTCTCGCTGTGGAAGACAGGCTGTAAATCGCCTGTTCATTTTGACAAAGGATGGAAGGAAGTGTAAAGATAAATTTCAGCTAATAGTCTGTTTTGAGTTGGTTTGGGGGTTTGCTTTGTTTTTTTTAAAAGAGAGAAAGAACAGCATAGCTATTCTTAGAGTTGAGCATCATACTAGAAAAAGGAAAAAAAAACTGGCAGGACAGGTTGAGAACAATGACAGTAGTACTCCTGCCCCTGCTGGCCTGCTGCTGCCGATTCTTGCACTAAGGAGAGGCATGAAAAGATTCAGGCCCACGTGCCCTGTGTACGTTGAGAGAGGAAGATTCCATTTGAGGCATATTTATAAAACGCAGCCTTTCACACAGATAATGAAGACTATACGCCAGCAGTCTATTTGGAATAAAGCCTCCTGACCTCATCTTCCCCCCCCCTCCCGCCCCCCTGCCCAAAAGACAGAAAATGTTGGCTGGCTTTGTCCCGACCTGGGTCAGGCTTTCCGGTGAATACATGCTGGAGGCCACCAGGTGGCTGACGAGAGACTACAGCTCACCCTGCTGCTGCTAAGGGGGCTGCTCAAAGCACACGTGTACAGGTTGGGTAGCTCTCATTCAAAAATCCAGAATGCTCCAGAATCTAACATGTTTGAGCACCACGTGACACTCAAAGTCAGTGCTCATTGGAACATTTTAGATTGCAGATTTCCGGTTTGAGAATGCTGAACAAATATGATGCAAATATTCCAAAATCTGAAACACTTCTGGTCCCAAGCATTTCAGATAAGGGTTACCCAACCTGTATTAGTATATTTGTGCCTTTTGTAGGATGAAGCGCTGGCTTATTTTTGAAGCAAGATAGATTACACCCTAGTTAAGTTTCAGGTTTGTTTTCTGTCCAAGTTCAAACTAATAAAACTCACTATAGCCTAGGCATGATTGCCTAGGCTATAGTGGTCTTTTCCCAGATGGATGAATTAAAGGGGAAAAAAGTACAGTTGTTTTTGAACCAGCCAGTATTCCCATATTGTATATAATTTTAAGTTAGGAAAGCCTTTTTTAAAAATGGTAATGATCTGTGCATTCTGTTTGAAAATACTTTCGACTGGATTGAGGGAAGCAGTTACTCACGAAAGAGTTGCCTTGCTGTGCTGAGGAAAGGGAGAAACAAACAGCCGAGCATATTTTAAGTATTCCATTCGTTTATATTCACATTGTCTGAGACCTCGTTAGTAGCCAACTCATTGTCGTCCCTAACTAATAAACTAATACAGAACCTTGGCTGCCACTCAGCTGCCAGGTCGCCCATGGAGATGCCACCTGCTCAGGTGGTTCGGGGGAGGGTGGATTCAGTGGTGACCGCCACCCTTAGCCCACAGAGCTTGATTGATGGCAGCTAATGGCATTGTTTTGATTATTGTTGGTATAATAAAATGATAAGGTGCCACTGGACCTCACATTCTAGGAAGTCTAGCTTCTCGGGCAAGGCCATTTTAGCAGATCTGTGAAGTTGAGTTTATTTTCTACTTCATTCTCCATACCACCCCCCACACACACTATGCCCTGGTACTTTCTAAAAATTGCACCTTCTTTTTTTGGAGAGTTCAGAAGCCCTGGGTGCTTCTTTCGAAGAGCGGTCCCAGGCTTTCTCTAAACCTGGTCCGGTCATTGGCTGGGTGCAGTCCCAAGGGTCCCCTGGTAGTTGTGCCATTACCTGATCCAGCTCAGAGTTAGCATTGAATGGGTAGCATTTGCAAAGTTCAGTGCTTTAAGGTTTTCCTCTGTCCATAGTTAACTCATCACAAACGTTTACCAGATTATCAGATTCTTGGACTTTCTAAATCCCAAATCTGCTTAGCATATTTGTTTATACTGTACGTGTTCTAATATGCTACAAAATGCTAGACTTATGTTGTACCTTTACTTTGCCTTTTAAAAAATAGATTAGGTTCATGGTCAGTATTAATCACAAACTGTTAACTTGATTTATTTCTTCCATTGAAAGTTTGGTGTAGCTAACAGAAAGCAAAGGTTAGTTTTATTGTTTGTGATCTCTTTTGATTCTTGCCAGTTTCTAAAATCTGTCGCTGTTAATGATTCGGTGATACTACCTATGGCTTACACTGTTCTTGGGAAGATGTTGAAGCAGAAAATCTTTCAGTAATTTGACAGCCACAAAGGCTTTAATTGAATGAAGTTCACATCAAATGTCTTAAAGTCTTATTTTTTTTCAATCTTAGGCTTATTTCATTGGCAATGCATTATTCTAAGTTCTATCATTTGTTTTCTAATATTTTGAGTTTAAAGATGTGGATTCTCCAAGTCACACTGCATTTTAATGAGTCTGTTTAAATGAAAGTCAGATCTCACACTCAGGGTTATAACCTCTGGGCAACTTCTTGTTCTCTGAAACTCAGTTTTCTCATCCAACAAAGCAGGTCTTGTGCCCAGCCTCCTAACAAGGGATGTTTTCAGATCTCACATCCGACTGTTCTTTGTAAATCATAAAGCATGACCCAAGAGGTCAGAGCATGTATTTCTCTTTTGTTGGTTCTCTGTGGTATCTTACGAAGCATATCTCTTAAGAAAGATATTTTTGTAAACTTTTAAATACTAAGACATTCATGAGAACCTAGTCTGCAGAATTTCATCAAGATCTGTAGCAGGGTGTGTGTCACTGCGCGTGGTGGAGCAGACTGACTGTGGAGTAGCCACGTGGCTTCACAAGCCAGATTCAGGTTCCCTGCTTAGTTAGGAAGGAGTGCGGGGAAGTTGCAGGAAACACAGGTGCTGACAGAGTGGTTCTTCCTCACGTGTCAGCCTGGGGGTCTCTCCAGGAGCTCAGGATCCACGGGAGATTTACAAACCCTTGTCCCCACTGCCTGTCTGTGGAGTAGCGTCTGGTCTCTGGCTGCTGGTTTCTATAATAGCATCATTTCTGGGACTCTCCTCCCTTTCATCTTCTTAAGGTCTCAGGAAAATGGTTAACCTTTTATTTAAATATCCTTACTGTCCTCTCTTTACCCAGCACACGGAGGAAGAGTATGTATGTTCTGTCTTGAGAGGCGGTGAGCCAGGCTTCCTGTATGAAGCAGAGAGATGGGACCCTTCCCGTGTTCCATGCACACACTGGTTGCCTTGCAACACACAGCTCCACAAGGGAAGGAACCGTTCACTGCACACAGTCCCTCTTAATGTCTACTGCCTTCTACCTTTTTCTTGCAGGAAGATCCGCGCCTGAAATTTCCAGTCCATATGCGGTCAAAGGCATCTTTAAACCCCAATGACCTTGGCCCTCTTCCTGTGAGTACACTGGAGGCACATGGAACAGTCTGAAAATGTCCATTCCTCTGTCTCCCAATGTTGATCGAGGGGCCCTGTGGGCCTTCTCTTTCTCCAGTCTTCTTGGGTCCCCTGGTCTGTTTCTTAATAGAAAATGGGGTGCTCAGCTGAATTCTAATCGTTATGTTATAGTTCACCTGGTACCTAGTGCTTGTGAAAGAGGTTTCTGAATTGCCGGCTGCTAGTGGAAGGTAGACCTGTAACTAGGGTGTGCAAGAGACATTCTCTACGGGTGTCAATTTCAGCTGTGCTCACTTACTTTACAACTTAGCAACCAGTGAATTCCATCCATATAAAAATAATAAAACCGGTGTGGAAGACAAAGGCACAAGTAGACATAGAAAGTTTCTATAAATCATTTAACCTGCAAATATTTTAAGTTTTTCTCTCTGTTGGTGAACTGTTTATAAATCGGATCTTTGTTCTCTTTGGGGCCTGAGTAGAAGTTGAGCTATGTACTTCAGATTGGATTTTGAGCAGAACCTTCACATGCACCCTCCTAAATGGCCCATCCTCAATTTAAAAAAAAGCTGTTGGGGAGCCAGTAGGGGTTACACTCCTAAGACTATTTTTAAATGGGAATTTTAATTTTTCCCAGCAGAAAGACCTTTCTGTTGCCTGGTATATGGTATATTATGGCAAAATTTGAGGCTAAAAAAGCAAGGCTTCAGTCATTATTCATGAAGTTATACACATATCCTTAACTTTCCAAATCTGTTTGGTTCCTGGGTTCACATGGAAATGCCAAAGAATGAGGTCAGAAAAGTGAAAGAAAGCATTTTTTCTGAATCTGTTGGTTTCCTGAGGTTCCAGTTGCAAATAGGGCTAGTTCAGATAACAAGGGCATACACCAGCCTTATCTTGGAAAACATTATCCAAATCTATTTAGTTCCTGAGTTTGAAGAGCAAGAGTTCATGGCAGGGAATACCAGCATTAGATTGTCCAGCTGCCTGGATAACATGAGTGAAGTAATTGTCCAATGCTTTTATATTAACCCTCCTCCTCACTTCCTTTAATATTCAATATTTACTTAATTGAGCTGTGCAACCTCAGACTCATCTGTTGCATGGTGTGTTGAAGTTTCCCTTTGAAGCTTTTGAGATAGCAGCTCATTTCCTGTTCTTCATACAGTGGGTGCATCTGAGACTGTCAAACATGTGATGAAGCGTGTTGCTAGACATTGAGTTAACTTGAAGAGTTACCGTGAACTTCAAGAGTTAACTTGAGACGTTTGAATTTAGTTTATTCTCAATGTGCAAATGTACCCCAAGGAGAGAGGAGTACAGAAGTGTCCTACAGTTTTTAAATTCTGCCTTTGGTTTGGGAACTGCTGGCTAACGTTTGTATTTTCTCCTCCTCTCCCTTCCCCGGATACCAGCCCGGTTGGGAAGAAAGAATCCACTTGGACGGCCGGACGTTTTACATCGATCACAGTAAGTAGGCCCTGTTTCTGGACACGTCGGTATTGCAGGTGCGGGGCGGGGAGGGTAATTCAGATATGGCAGTGAAAGCTCTGTCGTTCTACTCCTCGTCTAGGCAGCCAGGTGGTATGTGGCGAGAACGGTACCAGAGACTCAGTGCCCTCCTACGGTACTGTGCGTTCACCCCACGTTTGCCTGAAAGTAGCCCCTCAAGCTTTCCCCCGATTTGATCTTGTGACCTATTAACTTTTTTTTTTTTTTTTAATTAAAAAAATTTTTTGGTTGATGATCCCTTGACTTTTGCGCTTTTAATAAATACACTCTGGTAATAGAAAATAAGATTAGAAGTGATGATGTAGTCGAAAATGTGTGTGTGAACAATGCGTGAAGCAGCACGTACGTTTTGTAGAACAGAGGTCCTGTGGCAAGGTGTCCGCTCTGACCTTATTTTCTATTCATGGCATGTTTCCTTGCACCCACCACACTAATACGTAGGTAGTTCTTTTCTTGAAGTTGTAGTGTATTTGCTGTAGACATTTGCTCCAGCACCTTGAATAAATGTGTGGTTTCTCATCTCAACTAAAAAGTTAAACTAATAAAGGTTTGCTTTTAGCCGGTGGGGGGTGGGGGGATGGGGTTGTTTTGGGGGTTTTTTTGTATTTTTGGTCCTTCTTTTTTGAAGTGACATATTCTTCATAAAATCATGTTTATATATTCCTTAAAACTTCTGAAAAAGAATATTAAAATCAGTGTACAGTTTAAATCATGCATGCATGATTTAAACTTGGTAGAATTTTGGTCTTTGTTTTTATTTGGTTCATAAACAGAAAGTCCTTGCCAGCTTTCCCCAGCTTCATGTTTTTGTCACTAAACAAAATTACATTGATGAGCCACTTGCTGAGAAGTCTGGCCACGAGGAATGCTCCTATGTACAGGACTGGTCACTGTCTCACAGCCACAGTGCCTCTCCCAGATGTCACAAAGAGCAGAGTGCATTGGAGATGGGACTTCGCTTTCAGGCACAGGGTTTGAGGGGTTATTACAAATGGAATTAAGCAAGAGGGCCAGCAGTTCAGAATTAAACCAAAAGTCAGAAGTCCTGGGTGTATTTAGAGGGGTGGGTTACCCTTCATTTAAATCAGATATTTCAAGGTACATAAGCTTAGCTTTTGTCTTTAATTAGAAAAATACTGACTTGCCTACTTCCCAGAATTGCACAGTGAGCATAAAATTGCTGCCATAAGTGCTTCAATATATGTACATACCCCACTTTTCCCTTAAGGTGCTCCTTCATTATAATTCTAGAATTCACCAAAATAAGGGAGAAGAGAGGTCATGCCCCTTTTTCTCACTCAAAACAACAACAAAAAAACCCAGTTTCTTTCTTAGTTGTTGGTGCATTACAGTTTCGGTTTTCAAAGACGGGTGTGAACAACTCTGATCAGTTTACTAAAACAAGGTCTTTCCCAGCAACACAACCTTGGTCTGTGACACACACCTTATTCACACAACATCTCATGACAGTGTTCTGGCTGGGGGTTTGATGCTTCGCGCAACCTGAAAAGAATGTTGTGAATGCTCTTGGCATGCCACAGGGAGCCAAAAAACAGGAAAACATGATTGCAAGGGCCATCCTAGTGTACATTGGAAATAGTAAAAATCTGTTTCCCTAGTGATGTGCGTAGACCTAGTATAATCTATGGTAGATGCTTGATAAGTGGTCACTTGAAATCTGGTTCATGGAGGGTCAGTGGGGAAGGCCTCAGGCTGTCACTGTCTTTGGTCATAAAGTGGAGAGGATTTGCTGAAGGAGCAGCAGCCCCGGCCGCAGGCTGGTCCGGCTCCTGTTCACGGGGTAGCTACTTTCTGGGTACCTGGGTTCTTCCTGACTCCCCCCCTGCCCCCCATCAGTTTGCCAGTTACTCCAGCACACTTCTCAGACGTTTTCCTCATTCCTCTGCCCAGAACAGCCCCCGGGAGGCTCCTCTCCGCTCCTGGGGGTGGAATGATGTGCTATAGACCCTGAGCAGAGCCTGGTGGAGCTGAGCTGCACCAGTGTGACGTTTGTGGCCATTTGCTTGGAGATTAAAGTTTATTTTGCCTTTGCACAACCACGCTGAAACGGTCTCTTAAACACAGATAGCATACATTAGGCAACCAAAAATTGTTTAAGAAAAAGATCTGCTTATGAGACCCTCATTAGCTGTTAATGCTACCTTTCTGACAGTTCTCCGTAATTTGTCAAGATTTAGTCAACGGAAAGCAATGGAGGGGTACACATCAGTGAAACAGTTCAATTCATTTGCCTTTCTGCCAAAATTTGGTCTTTGAAAGCTGCAGAATGCCTGTCTCTGAACAGGCTTTATCAGGCTGACACTCCAAAATGGATAAGTGATAAATAATGATAAATAATATTTAGGAACTGTCTTTCTGTCTGAATGAAACCTCACTTTCTAAACAGTTTTCTAGCAAAATTTGGCATCTAATTTTGCTATTATAATGTCTACCTAGGCCATTTTACTGTGAAAGCAATCATCTTGTAAGTTGTTTAGTCATCCTGTCTTCCCAACATAGCTGGGATGTGTGACTACACATTGAATTATAGATAAGAATGCCCTTGTCTTTTAAATAGTTAGGTTATGTAATTATTTTCTGCTTCATAAATTCTTCTTGAGAAGTTAGACATTTTCAAGATTAACAATACTCAATCATCTTAAAGATTTAATTTGAAAAGCAATGAGTGCTCAGTACGTACCTTTTTTTTTAGACTCCTTGATTCATTTGGTTGAAAGCAAATGAATTGACAGAAGCTATTGAATAGCTTCTGTCTCAGGCCTGGTGTAGCGGGGGTTAAAGGAGGATCTTGAACTGAATCTGTAATGCTCATAGGAATGATGTCATTCTTCTTAAAGACCAGGTATGCCCAGCAGTTGAGTAATTGACCACAGGTATCTTATATACAAAATTAAAAGAAAATACAATTCTAGTTATTCTGTAAAACTCTGTTTTAGTCTCTCCTGCCAATAGTCTTACCATACCTTTTAATAGTGGCTAAATTGACTGGGTTTCTCATCCTTCTATTTCTTCCTTTTTCTTTTATTTGAAATATGGGATGGCTCAAAAAGGAAAAGCAAGTTTAGACTCAGACTCTAAAGGGGATTGGTTACTGGCTACCATGCATTGACAATACTTAGCTGCAAAATTGATCTTTATGGTAACTGTGTAGAAACTTGTGTGGTTTTGAAAGTTTAGACTCTTATAAAGGACCTTGTGTTCACCATCAGCTTCATTCAGTCATTTAAAGAATAATGTGTGGGTAGCATTGAACAGTCCTGTTCACATTGTGACTCATTTGGGAGAAAGAAAACTACCTCTTGCCAACTTGGCTGAAGGGAAACCGTTCTCTGGAATTTTCCTCTGCTGTGTCTAATTCTGGTTTTTTGGAATTCCTTTAGCTGCTTTGATTATTGTGTGTGTGTTAGTGATGCATGTGATAGATTATTCATTTGTTCAGACTAGGATTCTTAACTGAAAGCGTTTTCATACTATAGACAAAGTAAGGTATTTGAAATGAGAAAAAAATCGTGTGTGTGTGTGTGTGTGTGTGTGTGTGTGTGTGTGTTAGCCTTTTGGGGAACTAAGACTTTTATGCCTTTTTTCAGTGAAATGAAAACTAAAATCAAATTATAAATCTTTGAAAGAACAGGAGTTTATAATCAAACTTTTGACAGATTGCTTGCCAAAAATGGTGTGAATAGATGGTTTAACTTCAATTGTGCATTTTTGACTCAGTGTTTTTAACTAAACAGTGTAAGGGGGATTTGCCATACTAGACCATAGTTACCTTCTAACTCTGAAGTAACTAAGTTGTCTTTTCGGGGTGGGGGGATAACGGACAGCTTTTGAAAAATCCAGAAATACTACTTCCGAAAACATTGTTTAAATAGAGTAGATTTGAACTAATGTGCTAATTTTTTTTTAACATTTACAGATAGCAAAATTACTCAATGGGAAGATCCAAGACTGCAGAACCCAGCTATTACTGGTCCGGTCAGTATTCTCAAGTTCTGACTCTTTAGTGTGAGATTTTGGTTGCCTCTAACTGTGCATTTCTTTGTATATCACTGGTAACTGATGTCAAGCAACTGGTGTTATTGAGTAGTTAAACTTTACTCCCATCTTCTCCTTACCAAAGCTTCCAGGTGAGGTCCAGCTGCATTTGGCTTTGGGGAGGGCTTTCATTACAAAGGAAAAGAAACTGGTTTGAGAATGATGGCAGAATTAAACATTTTTTTCCTTCTCCGCTGTAAAAGACTAGATTAAAAGCATAATCAAAATTTCCTCCCTTCTTTTTTGTACGAAGCAAAACCAAGCCCCATATTTGTAGAGTTTTGTCATCTCGTTAGGCCAAGGGTAGTAAATGCATGCTCATAAATTTAAATCTTTTCCAGCTTTAGAAATCTATAGACGTTTGGGTGAGGTTGTAGCTCACTTTGGGAGCTGGCAGAGTTCAGCATCTCTCACTCTGCTGACCCACGAACTTTCTCATGGTCCCCCTAACGTGTGCTGGGTGGGAAAGGATCAGTTCTGACATGTCAGCGTAGTGACCTCCCAAAAGACTGCAGCACGCTGTGTTCGTAAGAAGTGGGACTCACACTGTCCTGTAGCAGCAGCCAACACTTGGTATCGTAAAAGCTGGGGACGAGTCTGTAGGCTGAGCCCACGTTCTGAAGGGCGTGCACGCCAGCATCTGCTGTCAGTGGTTGCACAAGTGGGAGGAGGTGAATTGGAATCATAGGAAATGTAATGGGAGTAGCAGAAGATTGCAGATTTGGGGTTCTTTTGAAAAACTAGAGGAGCAAAAGGAAATAAACTTGGTTGTATAACACCTATTTCATGGCTTTAATCTGATTCCATTTAAATTATATTTTGAATTAAGATATATTCATTTGAAAACTTAAAAAATACTAACATTGCAAATGTGCATTGATAACTAACACTCCTTTTGTTACTTCCTGGATTTGTTTGGGAATTTGTTCAGCCACTTTGGTGTGGTTTCCTAGGCAAAGTCCCCAGTAATAACTGGCTTAAAACAGTTAACTACTTTTTCCTTTATGTAGCCGTAAAAAACACTACCTTACTGTAATATGATGGCTTCCTCTTGATACATATATTCACAGTCACAGTTGGTTGTTAGAATAGTATTTTCCCTTCTACATCATTAGAAATAAGGTAAATTCCAGAAACCATGCTGTTTTCAAATGGCAGAAGACTTTCGAAGCCTTCCCAGATATTTGTCATGTATCAGCTACCTTTGCTCAGACACTGCCAGTTTTTGTTAATTATTGCTTAAAATTGTTCAGCCTCATAAATCCTGGTAGATTTACCCCCAGGAAATATCTATTTCTTTCTGTTTTCTATTAATGAAAGAGCCTTGTTTGCTCTTTTATTATTATTATTATTATTATTATTATTATTAGTGACATTGCTTTTAATAGGAGTACATATAGCTAAGTAATTATCAACTTAGTGTAGACATTTGGCCTTTATTATCAAAATGTCCAAATATTTGGCAATTTTCATTTGATTTTTCTCCTTAATTTATAAATTAAAATGTGCTTTTTTTTAGTTTCTGAGAGTATGGGAGGGCTTTTGCCTATCATTTCTTACTGAATTTTAATTTTTTTGCATTGTGGTCAGAATATTATCCACAGACTATTTAGTATTAGAGATTTGAAACTTTCTTGGAGTCTTGGTCATTTCTCGTAAATCTTCTGCGTGTGTTTTAAAAGAATGTGTGTCGTGTCTTTGGTTGGAGATAGAATTCTTTATCTGTCCATGAGGTCAAGCCAGTTGTGTTCCAGTTATCCATGTTCTCAGTATTGTCTTCTCCGGCTATCCAATCTAATCAAGAGACTTGTGTCCAAGTCTCCACGGCGACTGTTGCTCCGTCAGTCTCTGAGATGGATACAACTACATTTGCTTTCTTTCTTCATTAATTAGTATTTGTCTAGTGTATCTTTTGTCTCTCTTGTGATGTTTTTTCTCCTTTCTTGCCTTCTGTTAGATTGATAGAGTGCTCCTTATTTTCTTCTATTTTCTCTACATGCTTGCCAGTTGTACTTTCCTGTTCTTTCAACGCTCACTTTAAATTTTTTGGCCAACATACTTCATGTGAAAATTAATCACTCTCCACTTCCTCCAGCATAACATCAGGCCACAGGGAACCTCATTGCTGTTCTTCCCACTCCCATTTTCCATGTCACTGTTGGGCAGAATTTGAAAACTACCCTGTCTTTGAAAACTTTCCAAATAGTCATTAATAGTTTATCTTTTTTCCCCAGTAGTCAGTGCTGATTTAATTTTACCTATATGTAAATAAATTTCTTTGCCCACCATTGATTATTTTTTTCCCCCTAGGTGAAGTTTTTTTCTTAATGGAGTATAGCACTATTTCTACACACTCCAATGTGTGTTCTGATGACCAGCAGTATCACTGTCATCTAATAAGAACTTGTTAGAAATACAAGTTTTCGGCTGGGCGCGGTGGCTCACGCTTATAATCCTAGCACTCTGGGAGGCCGAGGCGGGCGGATTGCTCAGGTCAGGGAGTTCAAACCAGCCTGAGTGAGACCCCGTCTCTACTATAAAATAGAAGAAATTAATTGGCCACTAATATATATATATAAATTAGCCGGGCATGGTGGCTCGTGCCTGTAGTCCCAGCTACTCAGGAGGCTGAGGCAGGAGGATTGCTTGAGCCCAGGAGTTTGAGGTTGCTGTGAGCTAGGCTGACGCCACGGCACTCACTCTAGCCTAGGCAAGAAAGCGAGACTCTGTCTCAAACAAAAAAAAAAAGAAAGAAAGAAATACAAGTTTTCAGGTCCTATCCCAGACCTACTGAATCCACCACTCTGGGGGCGAATACAACAATCTTTGTTCTAAGAATTCCTCCCAGCGATCCGCCACCTACTCAGGTGGGGGACCCCTGCCCAGCAGCACGTAGAGTGAATCTGAGAGTGGTGACAACGTCTCTCAGTCTTTGAAGTTCAGCTGATATAGAATTCTCAGTTAACTTTCTTTCGGTACTTGGAGATATTCTTACATGTCTTCTGGCCTTCATAACTGACGAGGAGAAGTTTGCTGTCAGTGTGATTGTTGTTTCTCTGTAGGAGGATTGCTCTTTTCTCTGGAGATTTTTGAATTTTTATCTGTGTCTTAGATGTTCTGCAGTTTCACTATCATGTATCTGTGTGTGGATTTCTCTTTGTTTATTCAAATGCTTTGGACTCGTGATTCTTTAATATGAAAATCGTGTCTTCCCTCTGTTCTGTATAAATTCTCAGCTGTTATTTCATCATATACTGCATTTTTCACATTTTTCTCTGATTATCTGTTTCTATAACCCCTATTGGGTACTTGGTTTACTTTCATGCTGTCTTCCTTGTCTCTTTCCTTTTTTCTCTTTCTCTCTCTCTCTCTCTCATTACTGTATTGTGAGTTATTATTCAGCTCTTCCAATTCTTTCTTGAACTTTTTATAGTCTCTTTATCAGCTCATTGTGTTTATTATTTCCGTGACTATGTTTAATTACTCAAAGTTCTAATTGGTCTTTTAAAATCTGTGCTGTCCTTACAGTTATTCTGTCCTGTTCTTTCCCTTTTTTTAATTCTCTCATCTCTTTAGCATTTTTTTCAATACTTATTTTATACCCTCTTTCAGATTATTCTATTATCTCTGGGCCTAAGAATGTTAAATCTCCCACTCATTATGTCTATAGACCCTCCTTAATGATAGCATGTTGTCTAGTTCAGTTTATCATTTGTGTAAGTGTGTGTGTGCATGCAAGAGGGAGAGTGAGCACGCACACATATTTGTTTTTTTCCTGTGGGGCTTTTCTAAGTCCTGGCCTGTATTTACTGTTAACTTCTTGGCTTGGATTGATGCGCTTCCTAATTAGTGTAACTGTGGACTTCATACCCACTTCGGTAGAGGCTTGGAGTATGGATTTATTACAGGTCTGTTTCTTTTTGTTTTTCTTCCATTTATGGTCCTGGACAGAAGGTAAGCTTTCTTGCAACTTCCGTGGGCCGGTGGGTAGAATTTTCTTGTCCCCTTTTCAGATGTTAGGTTTTAGGCAGGATACTCTGTCCTTTCTGGGTCATGTAGATAGAAGGCCACGTTCTGTGTCCTCATGAGAGGGTTAAAACAGAAGCCCTAGCACCTGTGTGTCTGGGTCCATCACCCACTTTCTTCTCTAATTTTGCATCTTTTTTATTGGGTACCTAGAGTTTCTCTTTTGCCCAAGTTTTAAAAATATTCTAAGTTGGTCTTGCATGCCCACATATTTTAGGTAGAGGGACCTTGTTCTGGTAGCTCAGCTTGAAGCATTCTTATAAGTCAGTGAGCTCTCTGTATGACAGATACCACCATTAACAGCATGTGTTAAGTGCTGCCCGTGCACGCTGCTGGTAATGAACTAGTACCATCTCATGTTTTTGTAACGCTTTTACTTTTCCGAGAACTTTATAATCCCGTGATTTGATACCCACAGCAATCTCCTCAGGAAGATAGGACAGCGTCAGGATCAGGACGGGAGCCCGAAACGTGCTGGCATCACCAGTGTCCGCACGTTGGGCGTGAGCCCTTCTGTCCAAGGAGCTCCAGTACCATCGGGACAGTGATGACACTTAGGCCTAACTTGCACAATAAGGCAGGTTGACATTCTGGACAAAAAAGAACTCGTATTTAATACAGAGCAAAAAGGCTTTTTAATCAACAGACATGTTAATTTTGCAGATAGGCTTATTTTACAAGTTAAACTGCTCGTGAGAAAATGAGATACCAGATTTTCAAGAGGGAACAGATAATTTGGACCGTCCAGTCCAATAAATATACCTGCAATTCTCTTTAGAAGCTGCATTGTAGGGATGTGTGTGTCCCGGTATGTTGTTGGGATCTTTTCAGGAGAATATACAAACGTAGTCTTCTCATTCTATTATGAGGACTACCTCTAGACAGAAAAGATGAGTATAGGAGGAAGGTAATGATTTTTCAGTTTTCATGCATCATTCCCCAGGAGAAAGACCAGAAATACTCTGCATCTGATTCCCACCCACACCTACTCAGCACCTGCCGGTTACGAGGCAGGCAAGAGAATGGATGTCACAGTTGGGGCAAGGGCAACATTTTGAAATCTCTTCCTTGGGGAACATGTCATTGAAGACAATTGAACTTACATATACTAATGAATGTATAAGCTTTTTTCCCTCCCATTTTCAATTGAGGGGGAAAAAAACAAAATAGTAATTGCTGGGAATCTCAGGCTTTTGGAAATGGAAGCGCCTGGTCAGATTTATTCATCTCGTCAAATCCTACTTAACTGGAGAAAGTCCTTACTGGAGACACTGCTCGTTGCAGAGTGGGCTGGAGTAGAGTCTGCCCTCGGGTTCGGGTTTTGCAAAGCTGGAGGGAGAGCATGCAAGGAGGTCATTTCTTCAGTTTAGTTCCCTCCATCACAGTTACAGCTACAGCATCCCACAAACGCTTTCCCTCCTCGGGACGTGGCACCCCTGTTCCTGCCGTGGTCTGTCCCCTCCTGTCACTCTGGTTTCTGCTCCGGTGTCCCTTCCTCAGAGCCGCCCTCCCTGGCCAGCTCCTCTGAAATAACCCCACGGGAGCTGTGTCATTGTCTTCCTCATTTATTTCTCATTCCCTGTTGCTCCCGGCAGCTCGGAAGCTCCAGGAGGGGACCGGGAAAGAAACCTTTGCTTTTTATCTACTATTATTTCCCCAGCACTCAAAGTGCCTTCCACTGGAGTAGGTGCTCAAGAAATATCTGTTGAATAAATCAGCGAAGGAACGCTGAAGAGTGAGAAATAAACTCGAGGGAAGCTCTAGTTTGTGATGGCATGTTGTGTTGGTAGACCAAAAAACATATCTTTATTAGCTTACATCAGAACGACGTATTGTTTTCCTTATTTAGGTGATCGTCCTGATATGGACAAAGTTCATGTCTTGCCAAGAATCAGAAAAGGGTGGGGAACCTGCAGCCTTGTGGACCACATGTGGCCTTCTGGATCCTTGAGTGCGGCCTTTTGACTGAATCCAAATTTTACAGAACAAATCTTTTTATTAAAAGAGGCGCAGCAGAGAAATATAAAGTTTTTCTCGCCTCTTTGGGCACTTAGAGAAGAACACTCTTGAAATCAGAAGGACCCTGGTTCACCCTCATACTGCCCAAAATAAATGGGCTATGTGGTCACGTCAGTGCTGAATGGAAAGTTAAATGAAGACTGGCTTTAAAAACTAAGAATAGACCATAGGCAGTATAAATTTTCTTTAGCGTGTTTTTAAGATACATAAAGAGGTCTTCATTGCTCTCAAATTACACGATTTTCTTCTGTTAAGAGTGGTTGCTTGTTTTGTTTTCAGTTATTTGTATAATCATGTCTTAAAACAGTATGAAGGATGGAAGGTTTTCTTTCATTTCTTCTTTCTGTCAAGAATAAGCATGGTAAAAGGTGTAAGGTTTGGAGTCTGGGGACATTTTACTAAGGATCAATACATTCTATTAGTCCAAAATGATATCAGAAGTATTATCTGTCAAAATTCATACTGTTTGCTAAAAAGCAGTGAGTTGCTCTGAGTATGAGACTGTCTTAGTTACATCTGGGTGTATGCAGAAATCAGTCCTTTTACTTCCTAAAATATATTGGAAGCCTTTTCCAGAGCCTAAAGTCAGGATTCTGACTCTCAGATATTATAAGTTACTTTACAACATAGCAAATAAAGATTATTTAAGTGACTACGTTAAAATGTTGGGATTTTTTTTTGCCTGAAGAGATATCAGAACTTTTCAATAATTATAGTTAACTCAGTTCCTGAGCCCACACCTGGTTCCATCATCCTATTTTATAGATAAGACATTTGATATTCAAAGTAATCCTTGCCAAAAACCACTAAATATTAAGGGACAAACCTTCCAAAATCTAAATTGGGAACTTTTCAAGAATGCCATCTACTTGATTTTATGTTCCTTGATTAGAGTGTCCCTTTCTGCTCATTGTATCTCCCCAAAAAGATTAGACCTTTCAAAATGACCATTATCATTGTGGGTTGTGTGTAAAGTATCATACCAGTAACTTCCCTAAACTATAGCCAAAAAAATTACACCCTGACCCATATTCTGACTGAAGTCACATGAAAAGCACACTGAGTTTGCACAGCATACACTTAAATATTTCTTGGATATCAGTGTAGCTGCTTTCAATTGTGAAAGCCCCATTCAGTGCTGACTATCCCTGATCAGTTCTATGACTTACCCATGTCCCATGTGGACATTATGTACATCTTCTATGGGTAATACGAAGGATGAATTTTTAATGTTTATGATTCATGAAATTCTCTGAATGTTGGCTCAGTATATGTAAAAATTTAAGTGTATTGTTTGCATTACGTATATTTATAAATTTATCTTCCAGGCTGTTCCTTACTCCAGAGAATTTAAGCAGAAATATGACTACTTTAGGAAGAAATTAAAGAAACCCGTGAGTAAATCACATCTTCCAAAAATGTGTTTTTTAGTCATTTGCAAGTTACCAAAGTTACTTCGGTGAGAACAACTTGTTTTGTTACTTTTATATGTGTACTAAAAATATTACCTTCCTTTTCCCACTGCACTTTGATCCACCTGGATCTTCAATCTGAATTTTCTTTTTAACAGAAATGGTAAGTGGAGATTAACTCAGTATTACATATCAAATCACCTCAAGGGTAATTTCTTATGTAATACTTAAAAAGACAGAAATGATTTTTATTTAATGTAAAATAATTCAGGACACTAGCCAAAGTCTGGGGAGGCCCCTGCACTTACGTGTTGTTGTCCTACTTACTCAACCTAGACCCTAGTTAGAAAATTGATGTCTTTCCTAGAAAATCAAAAGTGTGGTTTTTAACCATAATATTTATATTTGCAATATAGAGTTTATAATATTTAAGTATACTAATTGGCAGCATGAGGCCCAAGCGTGATTTTCTGAGTACAGTTCTCACTGGCAATTTAAAGCTGAGACCTATGAGATTTTTATAGTCAACGTTTTGAATCACAGTGTTCCGTTTTCTGCTGACATGCCACCCCCAAACGCTTCCACATTGTGCCTTCTGCTTTACTTGCTGACTCCACCTCCCTAGCGTGGGTTTTAGCAGTTTTCTCCTGTTTGCTCAACCACTGGGGGTGCACCGTTGGGGAAAGGGGAGACCCCGCCGCCATTCAGCGCTGCCTCCGGCGCTCCCTACCCCTCTCCACAGCCGACGGTCCCGTCCTGGGCGTCTTCTCTGGATCAGGCACGGTCTGTGCTCTCACTTTGGGGTTCTGTTCCCTGTTCCCAAGTCCAGATCCAAGTAGCTTGTGAATGTCCACTTTTGAAATGATTCTCTGCCTTCAGAACTCTCCTTTGAACGTACAGAATCCTAGTGTGTATTTGTGAGTCTTATCCCCTGGTAAAGGGCGATGACTTCGTTCCAGTCTCACCCTGTGGCGCTTAATGCTACCGTGTCTTCTGCCCAAACTTGGCATCATCAGGGTCCCACTCCCCCCGGGAACGAAATTTACGCTAGGCGTCGTGGATCGTATCTACTACCTGGAGTCCCTGCCAGAGTTGAGCATGGTCCCAACCTGGGTAGGTGGGGATTATTTATAGGTTTTCGTTATCTAGGCCAGAGTCTCTTTCCTTGACTGGAACAGCATGTAGAGTTGACTCAGTTTCAGTGGCCGTTGGTGGCTCAGTGCCCACAGTTGTTTATAAAAGGGGACAACGATGAGTTTCTCCTCCGAGGCACAGCTGCTGAGTCAGCCCGAGCAGCTGCTGGGGGTGCTGCGTGTCCCATCGCGACACAGCGAGGCTTCCTGTCTGCTAGGGAAACCCAGGAAGGCGAGAGTCTCAGTTGGAGCCATTCGTCACTGCTCGTTTATTTGAAGACTGCCGTCATTTCTACCCTTTGTTTTTCTCTTATTAGGAAGTAAGATGGATATTTATGATTATGTGCTTTTTCTCTCTCTCTCTCTTGTGTAGGCTGATATTCCAAATAGGTTCGAAATGAAACTGCACAGAAATAACATATTTGAAGAGTCCTATCGGAGAATCATGTCTGTGAAAAGACCAGATGTCCTAAAAGCTAGACTGTGGATTGAATTCGAATCGGAGAAAGGTCTTGACTATGGCGGTGTGGCCAGAGAGTGGTTCTTCTTGCTGTCCAAAGAGATGTTCAACCCCTACTATGGACTCTTCGAGTACTCTGCGACGTGAGTATGCAGAGCGCACTGGGCAAGTGAAGGAATGGGTGGCGCTCTGCCTCGAGACCAAGCGGTGCCACTGAGTTCAGTCTCTCCCCTCCACCCCCCCCCCTGCAAGGCTGGAGCAGGTGCTGACTCTACATGGTGTAAGAATGTGCTCTGTGAACCCCTCAACTCGATTCCGCTTTTGTCTGCCTGGTTCATGGCATTGAAATTGAAAACGGGGTGGGTAATTATGGTAAGGAACAACAGGCAATTTTCGTTAGTAGCATGACTTTTAATGCCAGATGAGAATCTGTCGGTGTTAAAATTGGGGAAAAGTTCTTTTGTGAACAAGAATGGTTTCTGAAATCACACTACTGAAAAGCAAATTACCAGGACTTTGAGGACCCATGCTTGAGGACACAACGAACCGTCCTGTAGGGAAGAACCGAGTTCCCCCTTGCGTCAGTATTTCATCATTGCCAGGCCTGGAGACTGGGGCAGATGAAACTGCTTTCTGGGCAATCAAACACTGGCTACTTATAAGGCCAGCCGTTCCTCCCCTGGGCTGTGGGGTCCTCCACGGCATAGGCTACGCCCGAGGCCCCGGTGGAGCAGCTGTCCGGCGCTGGGCTCTAAGCTATCATAGGTTCGCCCAGGTCTCCCACCTGCTGCCGTGCTGGTGGCAGCTCCTTTGGAAGGCAGCCTCTACATCCCTCTCAGTTGGCCTCAGTTGCCAATAATTGCCCGATTTGTTTGTTGTCATTGTTACTGTGAGTCCCATGAGAAAGCCCACCATGTACAATGGATAAAACCATTGAAGGAGAGGGCAGGGTAGGGTGGCAAGATCCTCACCTCTCACCCACATTCCCTAAGATGCCCCTGTCCATGGCGCCCAGTATGAAAACCACTGGTGCTCACAACTGTGAGGTAAAAAAGGGACCGTTGGCCACACCAAAACGTCTGGAGGTTTGCGTTGTTGAGTTAGCCGTAGTCTCTTCCCAAAGCCCATGAGGTCTTTTCAGGGCAGAGCAGTGGTCAGACAGACCCAGGGTTGGGCCAGCAGGAAAAGATCTTATGCCCTAACCGAAAGCCTCCAGAAGGATTGATGTCCCTTCATCACAGAGATGACCTAAAGTACACACGTCATTGGGAATCCCTGCACAGCCCTTCTGTTATGTGGGATTTCTCATCTTCCCAAGACACCTGGGTGAACCATAAACATGGAAGACACTTTTGCAGGTCAAAAAATAGTTAAGCATCAGCAGTTTCTCATGGCTTAACTTACTTTATAGGGCATATGCATCAGTTCTAGTGGACCTCCATGGTCTGTCGCAGAAATGGGCTGAAGAAATGGTTAGTGGTGTTTTCTGTTTATAGCTCACATCTTTTCCCACTAGGTACAGAATGTTCTCAGGGGCACTGCGTGAAGGTTGAGTGACAGGCGGCAAAGCAAAGTTCCAATTCTTGCATTTCTTATTTGAAAATATGATTGGGCTTCTCTTCTCTCTTCCTCCCCAAAAGGGACAACTACACCCTTCAGATCAATCCCAATTCAGGCCTCTGTAATGAAGATCATTTGTCCTATTTCACTTTCATCGGAAGAGTTGCTGGTCTGGCAGTATTTCACGGGAAACTCTTAGATGGTGAGTTTTTAAAAAGTCTTGAAGTGATAAAAATACGACAGTGCTGTTTGTGGTTCCCTAATAGGTGTCTTATCTTTCATATCATAGATTTTTAACCAGGTGCTTCACTGGTTCTCCTTAATTCAATAAAGTCTTTTTATACTTTGCCCACAATGGAGGTGCTTTTCCCTAGTTTCATCTTAATTTGGGTGCTGCAGACATAGTGTCTACACAGTCTTAAAAATTTTTTTTTTTTTTTTTTTGAGACAGAGTCTCACTTTGTTGCCCAGGCTAGAGTGAGTGCCATGGCGTCCAGCCTAGCTCACAGCAACCTGAAACTCCTGGGGTCAAGCAATCCTTCTGCCTCATCCTCCCGAGTAGCTGGGACTACAGGCATGCGCCACCATGCCCGGCTAATTTTTTCTATATATATTAGTTGGCCAATTAATTTCTTTCTATTTTATAGTAGAGACGGGGTCTCACTCTTGCTCAGGCTGGTTTCGAACTCCTGACCTCGAGCAATCCGCCCGCCTCGGCTCCCAGAGTGCTAGGATTACAGGCGTGAGCCACCACGCCCGGCCCTAAAATCTTTTTTAAAAACTTAAGTGCAAAGCACTGGAACGTTCTATATTTATACATTTTGTATGTTTTCCGGAATAACTTTTCTTTAGGGAGAGCTAGATTTGGTGACAGATGGAAAAGCTAATTGAAAAGTTAATTAAAATGATCTAATCCATCCAATATCCTGTTGTTGTTCCATTTGTCCCCAAATTATTATTATTTTAATGTGAAGAGACTAATTGCAAAATAATGTTACAACTCGGCTAAGACCTCAACTCTGAAACAGATGACACGAAATAATTCTGTTCTTATATAGAGCATATAAATCCTGGAAGAATTTTAAGTGATTCTAACCTTGGACGTTAGAAATTAAATCCCCTACCTGGCAGTATCTCCAGGCTTATCTATGATAGAGACTTTTTAATGGATTTGGTCATTTCAAAATGACCAAATGTAGCATCCTTAAGAAATACTACAGTGAGGAAAAAGAATAAAAAATATCTTTTAATAATTTGGGGATACAGTGGTGGAGGACGGAAGACAGAAAGCAAGATTAACATTGCAATTACTAACGAGAAAGATATGTCCAGGGAAATAATATATTAATTGCATTTATGGAGCCTTAACTATGCCAATAACTCATCGATATGCCCTCTGTATTTTCCTTTCCCCTTTAATATATTTTTACTCTTAATTGCTAATGGATATTGATGCTCTGACTTCCATACTTTATTTTTTAGGGGGCAGGGAGTAAGCACCTTGTTCTGACTAGAAGGAAACTGCGCGTACTCTTTGTATGCATATAGTGTGAATATATCTTAATTTTCAGCCTTGGACTCATGCCATAGATTATTTCAGCCAGTTCAAATTCATTTCAGCCCCCTTAGAAGAATGTCAACTTTTACTACCTTCTGCCAAGAGAGAAGGCACTGTTAGTTGCTGTGGGGGAATACAGTGAAGTATAAGATGTGATATGACCTCACTGAACTTATTTTAAATGGGAGAAGGAGATAAAAACAAAAAAGCAGAAGAATCACAGGGACAGTGTCCGAGCAGAAGGGAATGCAATGAGTACTTCAGCAGGAAGGGCAGGTGGCATTGTCACCAAGGTGGGTGGGGCAGCACTGGAGTGCAGAGCTGGGGTCGGCTCAGAGGAGAGTGGAGTGTGGACTGGCCCGAGAGGCGAGGCTTCACGGAGGGTGTGAATAGACACAGGTGCAAATGGGGGAGTCCAGGAGGCGGCTAAAGGGGTCCCCACAAAGGCGATCATGGGGTGAGCCAGGAATTGCAGAACCGAGACCCAAGACGCACGTGGATGTGCCTAGTCTCAGTGTCCCGCAGGTGGCTGTGCAGGGCGCACTCTGCACACCTGCCCACTGCTCCCTGTGGTTGGCTTCATGCTTTTGCTTCTTCGGATGCTGAAGTCTGGCACAGCCTGCAGCCCTGGTGCCACGCCGAGCCGGGGAGCCCGGCCTGTGCCGGGAAGACTGGCACCTGGGGGGCGGGGGGAGGGCTGCAGGCCTGAGGTGCCAGGACTGGTGGGACGGTGCCCACAGGAGGAGGCACGTGATGCCGACCTGCCTTTGGACTGGGTGAAGTGGTGGTCCCTGTGGGACATCTGCGTGGTGGCAGAGTCGTCCCTGTGCTGTGGGCCCTCCTAGGCCTCTGCCGTCCCTGGGAGATGGCACACACCTTCTCAGTGCTGTCCTATTCCGGTGTTTTCTCCCCATCACTGCCCAAGCAGTGATACTGCAACGCAGATGGACTTTCCTCCTGGGCTTGTCACTGCCCTCAGGGAGCACCCCAGACTCTCCGGCACCCAGTGCAGGCCGTGCACCGCCTGGCCCAGTCTCCCGCCTGTCCTCCAAGGGCGCCCTGCGCTGCCACCCTGGCACATCTCCGGCGAGTCCATGTCTTTTCCTGTGCTCGGAGGGCCCTTTGCTCCCCGTGGGCCTGGTTTGTGCCTCAGACTCCAACTTGGCCTGGAGGCGCCTTTTGTCCCCTCCCCGCAGCGCCGGCTCCCAGCGCAGCTCCCCCCCCCACCCCATCCCCCATCTGTGGGGTGCCGCGGAAGGTCCTCGGCCCTCCCACCCCGGTTTCTCACCCAGACTGAGAGCAGGTCAAGCTTTTATCTCAGGCTCCGATACACAGCGGCATCGGAGACTGGAAACTCAACCCAGTTTTTCCCGTATTTTAGGTTTCTTCATTAGACCGTTTTACAAGATGATGCTGGGAAAGCAGATCACTCTGAACGACATGGAATCTGTGGTGAGTAAATCTGGGTCACACGCGGGCCACGGTGGGGCACCCGCGCCTCACGGGGAGGTCTTGGAGGCCGTGCTTGTAGTGGCAGCGGTTGTCACGGGTGCTGTCGTTCGGTCTGCACAGCAGGGAGCGTTTCACTGAGCAGTCAACTGACCTCCCTCATTTCTGTCATTGTTCACATTTCCCAGAATCATGGTACTTAGGGTAGATACAGCCATGGCTCAGCCATGACTCCTGCTGACCCGGCACAGACTTGTGTGGACAAATCACATCAAGGGACAGCCGGGGCCCCCATGGTAGCCTGTGTTTTCCATCCAAAACTGCTAGTGCTGAGTGTCACAACACAGAGGGACAGCGGGTGAATCTCTGTTTTCTGAACTCATAAAAATGGCAGAGACAAAGGCCCCAACAGTACGAGTACCACACAGTCATGCTGGACACGGAAGAGTAGGCGACCTGCAGTTCAGGAGAGCGAGAAAGTAAACACTATGCGAAGTTCTCCAAAAAGCGACTTGGGTTTTCATGTTGCATTTAACTTACTAGATTTTACCTCCACAGACCATTTTAGAGTTGAAAGGATTTTCTATAAAAACAAGAAGTGACATTCTTTTCATCATGTACTCTTGCTTCTGTGTTTCTGTTAACTCCCGTACCCCGCCGTCTGCCCCAGGCCGTGAGGGCGTCGCCTGCGTGCCGGAGCACGCACGAGGCAGGCGGGGAGCGTCTTTGGCCATCTGGGGTCTTGGCAGCTCTGCTCTGGTGTTCCGTCCCTCGAGTTCGGAAGCACCTGTGTAATTGGCCTTGGCACTGCCCAGCGCTGACCGGTGTTTCTGCTCCTCCTCATCTGGTGAAGGGGAGGCGGCGGCTGGCAGCGCCCCGGACCCACTGCCGTTGCGGATCGTGGGTGGGTGGGTTTGCGCATGCGTGGTCCCTCAGCTTTCTCTCCAGCTCTTACCTTGTGCTTTTATTCCGGTACAGTGAGGAGGCTAGGAGCATACGCGTGTCTCTTACAGGCTAAGTTTACACGACATGCTGGCAGCTAGTGCTTTAAATACAGTGCACGTATTTTTTCCCTTTTCAGAGGAGAGACCTGGGCCTGAAAAGAGAGGGGCGCTGAGGGCACTTCCGCCACCTGCTCTGGACTCTGAAGTCGGAGCAGCTGCCCTTTTTGCTTAAATTAACTTGCAGAGAGCAGGACGAGCACAGAAAAGGGCATAGTTAAAACCATGGTATCTGGTTAGAACGTTCCCCATTCCTCCTGTTTTCCTCTGATATTTCTACTCTTTGAAGACGGGCATATCGTCTCTATGTGGTAAATTCTGTGCAGCCACGAGGTGTGTGGCAGCTCTGTCCCCTAACCCGTCCCTGTCGGAGTAGGGTCCCTCCACGGTGCTCCACAGAGGACAGGATTCAACTACAAATCCCTCTCACCAGCAAAATGTTTTTTTTTGAACTCCTGACCTTGAGCAGTCCGCCCGCCTCGGCCTCCCAGAGAGCTAGGATTACAGGCGTGAGCAAAATGTTTTTTGTTTATGTTTTAAATTAAAGAGGAAGATTTAGTTCGGGGTGCAGCAGGAAACCTCACATTAGTGAGGGATGTCATTCTTGAGAATTCTGACCTTGGAAAGAAGTCAAACAGGTTTACATTTAGGGGAGGAAAATGCTTAATTTTAATTTCTGTGTCATCTCTATAGGACAGTGAATATTACAACTCTTTGAAATGGATCTTAGAAAACGACCCCACTGAGCTGGACCTCATGTTCTGTATAGATGAAGAAAACTTCGGACAGGTACGTGCGGATAACCCGAGGAGCTCTTCTCCGCCTTTCAAAGAGTGTTTTCTTCTTCACGGGCTGCCGTGCAACTTTGCTGGACGGTTAAAAACAACCACCAGGAGCTTTAGATGTTAATTATCAGCTTATTGTTGCAAGACCTTCCTGCCATGCCAGAAAGCCACTTCCCAAAATAAAAGTACAAACCCTTTCTCTCTTCCCACAAAGTCATGCAGTTCTAAGAGGCCTCTGGGGCAAAGATTAGCACTTCTTTCTAATCCCAAGTGAATCCAAATGTGAATGTTTCATTTGTGCCTCGCTTTTAGAATTTGGTTTCTTTAGGAAATAGGTGGTGGTTTGCATATTGATGTGAATCCATGCTGGAGAGTGGGTGTGTTTAGGGGCGCTGGCTTCTCCCCCTGCGTTAGGTTTCTGTTGTCATGGTGACATTCACCTCCCAGGGCTCAGCGTGGCGGGCTCAGGTCGTTCTACCACTCAGTCTTGCTTTGTCCCCCCTACGGTGTCTCTGAGGCTGGATAAATCCTTAAAGTCAATTTCAAAGGTAAAGTCACCTGCTTGGGATTTTCATTGTCATCCTAAGGGCCTTTGGATGTGTTCGTCTTAAATCTGAAGCCTTGGATTCACTTGTCCCCTCGTAACAATGGTGCCTCTTGGGACCTGTTCTCAAGGGATCACCTGACGCTGGTACCTGTCCCTTCATAAGAGCCCAGGGATATTCCCCGTCTCAGACCAAGTCTTCATGGCCTCAAAGTTAATTAGATCACGGAACCTGTTTTAAGGGCTGCCACCTGGAAATGAAATAGCTTTGTTCTTTATTGCTTCAGAGATTATCAAAAGTGTATCCACTATCAGAGAAACCCATTACGGCTCTGTCGCTTCACAGACTGCACAGTGCTGTGCCCGGTCTTACAGGTGAAGTCACAGATCAGGTCCCTGCCCTCTTGGGTTAGAGAAATCTTAGAGAATCTTGGAAAAGAAGATAATGTCACTCATTATAAAGAGATTAGTGACCACTAGGGGCAAAAACTGTTGAACAAGAAAACAATCACATAAATACACAAATCGCTTGTCACTCCGTGTCATGTGTTCGAGCCAGAAAACTTGCAGTCACCAGTGAGTCCTGGGCGTGGTGGAGCTCGGGGACTCAGTGTGGTCCTCCCCAGTTGGCTGGGCAAAGCTGGTAGAAGAACTTACGGGCACCAGAGATGAGAGACTTGTGACTTAATGTATTATGGACGGGTCCACTAAAAATCTCCACCCACCAACACCCCTCCCTCACATCCCCATCATTGCTCCGTATTGTGCCTCATGCCTAAGAATCCTCATAGACAAGTGGAGGCTGCTGTCCCACACAGGGACCTTGTGAGGGGTGAGGACAGGTCTTTCAGCTGCGGTCCCCTCCAGGTCACCAAGGGCCTCCCCAGGACTAGACACTCAGGGTGTCTCCTTCCCTCCTCCCCTGCCTGGGCGTCTCCTTGGAATCCTCCTTCTGTCGTTGTGCTGTCTCCCCAGCCCTTTGTCCTGTAGATTCCCTGTCCTTCTTGTGTCCCTGTTCACGCTTCCCTTGTTCACTCTCTGCCTGTTTCTTGACTGTGTTGCTGTAACAGCCTCCTGCCAGCCGCCTTGTTCCCTCTCTTGCTCCCCATCCCAGTCTGTTCTCTGACACTCCCTGTAGGGAATGTTTCTGAAACGCAGACCAGAACATGTAGTAGTTCTGCTCGGTTGTCCTCTGGCCTTCAGCGTAAGTGAGAACTTGTGAGCATGGCTCTGGAGCCCCAGTGACCCGACCCTGCCCACCTCTCACCTCCCCAACTGTGGTGAGCCCTGGTGCTGTTACCAGACGTGCCTCGGGGCACGTTGCCGGCTGTCCCGTGCCCTCTGCACACCGGTGCGTTCTCTGTCCCATCCCCTCTGCTCATGCTGCCCCTAGGTGTACTGGCTGAACTGTACACAGTAAGCCCCTTGAGGTCCTTGGTGTGTCTAGCACTCAGCATGTAGTTGATGCCTACTGAATGCTTACTGAGCACATTAACGAGTGGTGGTGCCTATTTTTTTTAAAAGATGTTAATAGTGTTGTAAGTAATAGAAGTCCTAAGTGCGAGAAAACATAATCAACTGACTCTCAGTAGCATCCTTATTTTTAAGCTAGACTCTGTTGAAGAGGCCTCACTGCCAGTTTTCAAAGGGTGAGACGTGGATCGTCGTCCTGGCACTGTCTTCCCTTCATTTTTAACATACGAAGGGAGGACTAGAAACAGAACCAAGGAAGACTTAAAGTCAGTCTTGCGTGTCGCATACGCAAAACGGCTCTGTGTCTCCACTTACAGAAAACCATCTGACCACCTTAAATAACACATCTCAGAAAATTATTGGCAGAGCCAAAGTTAGAAGCAAATGATCTGGGAAACCTTCCTTAGTTGGCTAAATGTAACCGTTTCCACTTAGAAAATGAAAACCAAACACAGGATGTTTGGATTTTTCAGTAGACTTCTAATAAAGGTTCTGATTATCATTTTAGTTCATGCCAGGTATTCATTAAAAATAATTCTCAAACCTTCTCCTTTAATGCCGTGGGTCCTTCTGACTTTGGGTAGAATCAGGCAGAGCCATCAATAATCAGGGATAGACGCACGAGATGAGTAAGGTAGTGATTAGGTGCCCAATTTGTTAAATTGCTGTCTTTCCTTTTTAAGAGAGCGGACCTGATTACCGGGGAACTCGTGTGTTCTGCGCTCTGGGAGGGAGTTTGGAGTGAGTTCAGCAGCCACATAGTCCTCTTGTCCCCCACCCCCAGCCCATCACCAAGCCTTGGTCCTTGTGCCTCCCAAATATCCCTCACGTCTGTCCACTCTCCCTCTGTCCCACCACCAGCACCCAAGTCCAAGCCGCCATCTTCTCTTGTACACTCCTAACTGGTCTCTTGTTATCGACTCGGCCTCCTATAATGAGGGAGGCGGGGACTGCCCCACTGCCCTTGAGATAACAACCCAAGTCCGTAACTTGTCCCATGGGGTCCTGCATGGCCCGTCCCCACCTGCTGCTCCTCCAGACTTGTTTCACATCACAGACTTGCCCTCGTGCTTTCTGGGCCTGGCCCCACTGGCCGCCTTGAACACAGCGAGCTCCTTCCTGCCTCAGGACCTTTGCTCGTGCCGCACCTGCTGGGGAAACATTCCCTCCCATGCCCAGTTCAGACGTTCCTTCCTCAAAGACTCCAGCCCTCGACCCATACCACGAGTATCTTCCGTGCCTGCCTTGCGGCGTGTACCACAGGTGACTGTTTGTCTGGGTACATGTTTAGCCTCTGTCTCTCCCACCGGGCCTCGCCTCACCGTTGTGCCCTTGCCGTTAGCACAGTGCCTGGCACGTGGTGAGCACTCAGAGTACAGGTGTTGATGGGGGGAGCACAGGCATTAAGGATGCCCGTCCAAACCTCCCAGCTCCCCCAGCCCTCTGCAAAACCATTGCCTGGGCACTGCGGCTGCCTGACCTGGGAGGAAGGCCCTGCCTCCCTGATGGCAAAAGTCACGTCCTCAGTGAGGGAGCAAGTGCAGTTGCCACGAGGTGAAATGGACATGCAGTGTTTTGAGCTCTTTCTTTTTTCCTTTCCCAATTTAGAAATAACAGACTGTGAAGTTTGATAGCTGTTGCTTCGTGTCATGAAACTGCAGCTGTTACCATTAATTGGCAATTTCTATTCTTTCTGATTGGTGAGAATTTGGAGCTTGCTTGTTTCTGGGACCTCGCAGGAACGTTTCCACTGAAGAAATTTCAACATTTGAACGAGTATCGTATGCCAAGCAGGAAGGATAAACCGTATTCCCGTGTGCTGGTGTGCACACACACGCCCTCCCGAGAGGAGGGCCCTTTAGAGCTGTAACAAGTAGAAATTCCTTGTTCCCCGCTCCGCAAAGCAGCACGTGGCTTGGTTGTGCGGAGGAGGCGCTAGAAGCTGTGCAGGAGGGAGGGAGGGTGGTCAGCGGTCATGCAGGAAAGCTCTTTAGGGCCAGGGCTGTGCTAGGTTAGCCTACACATTCTCAGCGGGAATGACCCCTCCACAGGGACAAAAACTGGTTGTTGGAGAAGACAGTCATCTCGGCTGTCGGAGTGGTTTGTGGCCCTACGAGTAAGTCCCGCAGGTGCACTGCGGACCTGTTTGTTAAGATGTCACAGAGGGAGGTGGCCACTGGGGGTCGGGGGCATCTACAAAGGTTCCTGAGGGAGTGATGACGAACAGGAAGGTGGAGAAATGCTGGGAGCGAGTGAAAAGGCAGAAACCATCCCCGTGGGAACAGAGATGGGCGCAGCAAGGAAATTTGAAGGTGGAAAGTGAGAGTTGACTCAGAGGCCTCCGTCCTGTCAGTGCGGTTGCTTTGATGTCGCCGGGACGGTGGGGTGGGGGCGTGTCCGTGGTGGGGCGAGGGTGCTGACTGCCCCCTGAGGCCACATGCCACCGGGTTTGCAAGCACACGTCAGGCCGGGTGTTGGTCCAGCATCCAAAATTGGAGTCTAAAACAGACATTTACTCCGTCCAACTCCAGCATGAGCCAAACTGTTGACCACCTTCTCAGACAAATGGCATAAAGCGTCTTTGGAAGGTCGGGGAGGTGTGTGTGACTCCAGCGCTTTTCATTTGGCACAGGAAGGACTCGCTCTGTGGCTGTCCAGCCTCAGAGGTCGTGCTGGCTCTGTGAGGAAGGGGGAGAGGTTTGTGCTCAAGCCGGTAGACGCCCAGAAATGGGAGCTTCTCTGCTTCCCACGCGCTTAGCGAGCACTGCAGTGTGCCAGACGCGTGGGAGCGCTCTTCACGTAGGATCCCTAGAGTGCAGACACGAGGAACGGCGGTGCAGGCCCAGGAGGCCGGGGCTGGGGCAGAAGCGCCTTCAGTGCGGTGGGACTTGGACGGGGGTGGCAGGATCCACCCAGAGGAGGTGCTGAAGGCGCCTGGGTCCTGGCACCAGCTCCAGCTGTGGTTTCCTGCTGGTCCCTTCTGGTAGCCACCACACCTCCCCAGGTCTCTGCCGCCTCCTGGGAGTGCCGTGCACGCTCGGGACCCGTGCCCAGTGCCCGGCTGCGTCACCTGTAGGGGGGTGGGCAGGGTTGGGGGAGCCCCTCGAGTCTTCTCCTGCCTCTGCATTACACGCACTGCCACTGTGAGCCCACTTAGGGCTGACAGCCCCGTGCCAGGTGGCACCTGCCACTCAGTCGTGAGGACACGTAGTTCTCCTCCTCCTGTGGTGGCGACGTCTGAAATGAGGGAGTGTGAAGTGCGGGGCAGAGCGAAGGCACAGCAAGGCTCTAGGTAGACAGATGCGCGAGCAGAAAGGGAGGTCGGCGGGAGAAACTACGCAGGGAGTCGGGCTCTGGAGTCGGGCACGCTTGGCCTTGCACCCCAGCCCTCGGCGCTCCCGCAGAGCCGTGTGCTTACCCGGACCAGCCAGTGATGGCACCTGCTGGTCGGAGCGATGCAGTGACTGAGCCTGTGATGGGCCTGACACCACTCCTGCAACGCAGGGGCAATCTGACAGCCAGCCCTGGTGGCCAGGCTGAGAAGTGGGATCCGAACAGCGGTCACTGCTTCCCGCAGAAGCGTCATCTGCGAAGATCCCCAGGGGGATGGAAATTAAACACCAGCAGGTGCTTGAACTGGGAAGTGCCTGTGGCCGGATCTGGGGGGTGTTTCCGTTACCTAGTGGCTTAGGGAGCGGAACTGAAAACCACCCTTGCTGTGCCCGTCCCCAAGCCCTCCCCTCACTGCCCGGGGTAGAAACCCACAGTCAGGATCAGCCACAGAACCAGACAGCTGCCCACAGAGTGATGTATTGCCACAGCCTCGTTACTTGGCACGGATAGTATGATCCCTTTCTTTGTTTCTTTCAAAGCCAGTTTTGTTAGTTTATCTGATAATAAAATGTCAACTTTTATAATAAAAATAAAGGCAGTACAATGAAAATAAATATCATCTGTCATTCCCACTATTTCAAGAAAACCCCTGATTAAAATTTTGATTAATACCTTCCAGGATTATTCCCTTTAAGCACACACACGCCAGATATATTTTATGGAAATGGAATTGTACTGTGTATACGGTTTTCAAATTAATATATCACAGACACCTTTCCACATCATTAAATATCCATCTATACTGTTTTAATTGCTATAGTGAATTCCGTGTTGTAGATGTGCCATGTGTTTTTAACCATGCCTGTTGGCAGGCATTTAAGCTGTTTCATTCAGTGTTTAATTAAACATACAGTCCTGTATAACCTTGGAATATTCATATATGCAACATATAAACTGTAATCCTAGAATCCATATTTTGTATACTTGACTAATTTTCTTCCCTTAGCATAAATTCTGAAAGAGAAATTATTGTGAAAAGGGATACGCACTTTAAAGTTTGGATGCCTGTTGCCCAAATGTCTTCCAAAAAGATTGAACCGGTTGGACCCCAAGCAGTAGTGTAGAAGGAACCATTTCTCTACTCTCTGCCACGCTGGCTCAGTTTGCTCTTTGTCACCATTGATAGATGACAAAGGAAGAATGGGGGGGGTATTTCTCCTTCCTTCTCCCCTCCCTGCCTGTCCCTGTCTGACCTCTCATTCAGCCGCTCTCTGGAAGCTGCAGCACCTGGGGAGGCCGGGCGAGCAGAGGAAGAGGGAAGACTGAACGCTGGCGGGAGCATATCGCAGGGCTATGGGACGTTTATCTGCGTCACCTGCCTAGAACACCAGAGAGCCGTGGGGGACAGAGGGGAGGAAGGTTCGATCTTAGCATCACCATCACTGAGCTGTGCTGAAAGCCTTCTCAGTACCAAGACTGGGCTTGGGTTTATTAATTGGTCACTGGTGTGGATCTGCCAGAAAGGCTCCAGATGGCTGGGCGCGGTGGCTCACGCCTGTAACCCTAGCTCTCTGGGAGGCCGAGGCTCGCAGATCACTCAAGGTCAGGAGTTTGAGACCAGCCTGAGCAAGAGCGAGACCCCGTCTCTACTAAAAATAGAAAGAAATTAATTGGCCAGCTAAAAATACATAGAAAAAATTAGCCGGGCATGGTGGTGCATGCCTGTAGTCCCAGCTACTCGGGAGGCTGAGGCAGGAGGATCGCTTGAGTCCAGGAGTTTGAGGTTGCTGTGAGCTAGGCTGACGCCACGACACTCTAGCTGGGGCAACAGAGTGAGACTCTGCCTCAAAAAAAAAGAAAAGCTCCAGCTAAGGGAGCAGCGAGGCAATCTTTGAGGTGGAATAAAAGAAGGAAAAGAAAAACCAAAACCAATACAATATGGGGCTTATTTAAAAATAGAACAAAAGGTATAAAACCTCCAAAAATACCAGCAGAGAGCTGGAAATGTTTTACTGTAGGAAACGTCCCCACCCCAGCCCCAAGTGAAAGCTGTTTGGCATGCTCTGTCCCCGACATGCCCTGTGCCGGGCAGGAGCAGATGCCACCGGGAGAAGACAGGGTGAGCCGGGAGGATGGCGGCAGGGAACGGGGAACCAGGTGTAAGGAAGGATTTCAGGGAAACCAGAAATGCAGCAACAGGTTTAAAATCCACACTGGGCACAGTAAAGAGTCAAACTGGCTTTGTGGGAAATGAAGTTCAGTCAGCTGGTGGAGAAACCAGATCCCTTTCCCAGTAAAGAATGAAATGTAAAGGGACTCTGTCAGTGATTTAATTGAAGAAGCCCTCAGTGTGACCAGGAACAAGTCGTGTACGTAGAGAAAATGTGCGGGGACAAACGGGGTGTGGGCGTCAGGTCCGAAGGGCTCAGGGTTCCCCTGGGGGTCGGCAGTGGAGGGTGAGGACCCACCAGAAGTGACCATCGGAATCTGTGTCCTCATCCTGGTTAGAACCCTGACACTTTTCCTGGAAAACACTCTCCCCCTGGCGTGGTTTGCTCTGTAGTACAGCCAGGCAGACGTGGGAAAATAAAGCACAAGGAACCCTACCAAAATAGTCATGTGGCTTTATTCCAGCAGGGGAGTTGTAGGTGGTATATTTTTCCACCTTTTTTCCCTGAAATGTCTACAGTGAGAATAAACATTCTAGAATGGTCAGCCTCTCTCCCTTCCCTTGTGCTAGTCATGGCTTCATACGTCATGGCGTGAGGCTGGGACTAGTCCACAGCGTAGAGGGACTTGCCTGGTGTCAGCTGATGCACTTGTTCATGACCGTAGGTGGCTCTGAGGTGGGGAGCTCCGGGCACTTGGGCCAGGAGAAGGCGTCCTGATGCAAATGTCTGTAGGTCTTGGGAAGACAGATAAATCCATCTCTTCAGCCTGGCTTCTTAAGCTTCTGTCTGTCTTTGTTTTTGTTTTTTAAAGTCCCTATGTTTGCCTCTCTGAAAGAAATTCCATGCATCCTTTTTTTATGACCATAAAATTTAATTTACAGAAACAAAATGCATTAGAACTTGGATCTCTGCAGTTTTGCTGGATGTACCCTGTTCTTTTCTCTATTAAACATAATTAATTTCTTGATAAATGAATGGCAGATGAAACGGTGTTACTCTTTCCCATTATTGCAAATGCATGAAGAATAATTAAAACTCATAAATAACCATAAAATAATTTGCCTTTAATGATAACATCTTTAAATGTGTAACATCTTAACAATTTATAAGCCTCATTAAAAATTCTCTGGTGTACAGAGCCCATTTGCTGGGAAGTATCTCTGAATAAATTCTGCTTATCTTCCTATTATAATAAGACATTATTACTCAATAATAGTACACAAAATAACTTCATGATGGTGATTATTGTTTTATCTTTGTAATTACAGACATATCAAGTGGATTTGAAGCCCAATGGGTCAGAAATAATGGTAACAAATGAAAACAAAAGGGAATATATCGAGTACGTATACACATATTTACAACTTTTTAATAAATTGAATGGTATATTTGGTTGACGTACATTGCCAAAACAGCTCGTGTTTGCTATGGGTATGAATTTATTGGTCAGTTTTCAAAACAATATGGGTTCCTTTGTGGCTTGGGCTTGTGGGAAGCTGGATGTGGGATGGAAAGTGCACCTAGTACAGTGTCATGCTCCAGGGAGCTGCCCTGTGACAGGGCAGAGGAAGAAGGGAGGGTGTGCACCATTGAGTGGTGTGGCAGATACTCTTGGAGTGTGTGGATCTCACATCTAAAATCTAGAATTGCAAACTGGGCGTGGTGGCTCATGTCTGTAATGATAGCACTGTGGGAGGCCAAGGTGGGAGGATTGCTTGAGGCCAGGAGTTGGAGACCAGCCTGAGCAACATGGTAAGACTCTGTCTCTATAGAAAAAAGAAAAATTAGCCAGGAATGGTGGCGGTGCCTATAGTCCCAGCTACTCAGGAAGCTGAGACAGAAGGATCACTTGAGTCCAGGAGTTTAAGATTGCAGTGAGCTAGAGTGACACCACTACACTCTACCCAGGGCAACAGAGAGAGACTCTGTCTCAAAAAAAATAAGAAATAAATAAAATTTAAAATTGCAACAGTGGAACACAATGTCAAGGACCAGCGGGGTAAAATTAGGAACCAGCAAAGATAAAATGTATTGTTTCTCTCCTAACTTCTTTTCTATAATGGAAATGTACAAAAGTAGTTAAAATGGATAGGAAGAATTCAGCGTGTACAAATATAATGAATCGCTTCTGATATTTGTAATTTTCCTTAATGGATCTTAGCCTCAGTTGGTGGAATAAAATGAGTCCTTCTGGAAATCTAGGACATTTATACCAGGAACATTGTATTTTCCATATATATGTGTGTATGTGTTTCAAACATATAATTCTGGGATCTTTCAGAGATTGCTAGGTTGCCCCCACTGGCCCAGCCCTGGTGCCAGGGACAAGGTAAGCGTGGCAGGTATGGGTTCCCGGGACCTGGTTTCTGCTCATCTTATGGGTACTGCAGTGGCCTGAGCTCCATTTGCTTTCAGTGCTCTGTTTCAGCAAGCTTGGGCGCCCTCCTTTCTTATTTGAAATTGGTCATAGGTCTTGAATTCAGACAGTCGACTGAAGGTCTTAGCATCTTCTAGTGTGATCTATGAAGAAAAACCTATTGTCCTTTCTACTTAGGAAGAAATGGAGTGTGTTAGAATCGCTACTTAAAACCCTAACAAAGAATGGAACTATTACATAGCAGACTTTTTTCTGCTCTCAAATCAAAAGCTTGTTACACTGAATAAATGAACTTGGAAGTTAGATGCTTCCAATTCTTACCTGTCTACATTAATTGATACACTCATTTTGAACTTGGACAGTCTTAGCTTGCTGTGTTGCTCAGGCTGGTCTTGAACTCCTGGCCTCAAGACCTGGCAGACACCATTGTCTTCCTTTGGGAAGTACAGACTGTGAATGGGTTTTAAAAAAACACCCCAGCCCAGGGTGACTAAAGTCTGAAGTCTGAGGAGTCTGACGTGTGTGATAATGTCTCGTGCATTATTCTTTGCGGTTACGTCTTTCAGGGTTCAATTTCGGTGGGGGCCAGGCAGGGTCTCAGCTAGCTTTACTGAGAAAAGTGTGATTGAAATCTGTGGCTGCTCCGTGGCTCCTGGGCTCCCCTGGTGCAGAGGAGTGCTGTCGGGCCGACAGTTGCAGCCCAGCGCAGCGAAGCCTGATACGGCCGAGCGGGGGTTGTGCTGCAGGCTGGTCCTCGAGGGCTGTCACTGTGGAGCCACTGCAGAGGCGAGAGCCCTTCGTGGCAGCAAAACACCTTAGATGGACTCCTGAGTGAATCTGCCTTGTAATAAATGCTGCTCTATGCTAAACACTGTCACAGGGAAAATAGTTTCAGTGACCTTCAGTTACCTAAAGAGGTCTTACCGTTCAGCCGCCACCCTTTGTTGTTAAAGTGCGAGTGCCATTCGTTTTGCTGATGAAGCTTATGTCATTGTTGAATATCAGCACATTGGATGCCAGAAGGAACTATCGTGTAACAAAATACATTATGCCAAGTACTCTCTTTACAAATATTTGTACACACATGCAGGTGTGTGTGCGTGCTATGCACACATAACTGTTCACACCTGTGACCTTTTCTCTACATTCCTAAAGCAACTTTGATGAAGGGAGGCTTGATCGGAAGAGAAATCACTTGTTCTTCTGAAATCCTCAGTGAGATTATAGGTTTTTCACGGATGATCAGTGTTTCTTGAAGGAATTCGAGAATACACAGTGGGTGTATGGCAGAAGACCCTCCTTTGCGCCGTGCTGTTGTAGAGTTTCCCGCTCCCTGCTGGAGAGGAGCAGTGACGCCGCGGAGAAAGCAGGGCGCTGGCGGTGGTCCAGGTGGTCACCTGTCGTTCCGTTTCTCCGCAGCCTGGTCATCCAGTGGAGATTTGTGAACAGGGTCCAGAAGCAGATGAACGCCTTCCTGGAGGTGAGCCGCGCTTGCCGGGTTCTCTGCCGCGCGCCGAGAGACGGGGTGGGAGTGGGGACACACCCCGGGGTGGCCGGGACTCACAGCTGGCACCATGCCCAGCCTCCAGGACAGGAGTGTTGGCCGGCGTGCCACCACTTTTTTTTTTTTTTTAAGTATTATCTTACTTGGCTTCTCTTGGTTTTTTGTTTGTCTCAAATGTTTTTTAAAGAAGACCTTTTACAAACTTGATCTAGAACCATTGTCTCGAAGTCTCCAGTGGTACCCACAGTGACAGCGTCCAAGAAGTCCGAGGACTCAGAGCTGAACAGAGTAAGGGCAGGTTCCCACCAGGCCACCCTCGCTGGAGAAAGCATATTTTCTTAACCCAGGATTTTATTTTGTAGCCGGCCACCTTGTGCCAGCTTTGCGTATGAAGCAGGCCCTTCCCAGATCCAAGTTTTTGATATCGGTGATGCTCCCAGGCCCCTTCCAGAGACCCCCAGCAAAGGGGAAAGGAAGGAGTCATCGTTTTAAAAAGTGTTTCACTTTAACCAAAAGTAAAATCCCTTTCTAAATCTGATAGTAGTAGCTCCTTAAAAGATCCGTTAGGAAAACGCCCCACGTCCACGTTGTGAATTTGCAACTGAAGCGCAATGCTCTCTTAAGCCCGCCCCTCGCACAGTCACCTGTACTTGATGTACGTCCTGGGTCGCTGCACTACTCAGTGACGAGCCGGGAACGAGAGCGCGGTTCTTGCGCCGTCCTCTCTCCCACGCAGCCCGCCGCCTGCTGGGTTTTGTCTCCGGGCCCTGGGCACGTTATTTTTAAACATGTCTCTTGCACATCTGTGGCCTGTGCGTTTTAGGACACTCTGACTCACAGCAGGGTGTTATAAATGGCTTTTAGAATCCACCTGCCTACAGTATCCCATATTTTCATAGGGTTTCAAAAATTATTCAGGTGCCCGAACCTTCTAGATTCCACAGTTTTTTAAAACCTTTGTATTGTTAACCGATGCTATTTTTCTTAGAACTGTAGTTACCTAATACTGTCACTGATGTATGAATCATCAGTAAAGAATATGGTTTTTTTTTTTTTTTTTTTTTTTGCTAACCAAAAAAGTTTGTTCTTCCTATAAAATTTGTCTTTTTCAAGTAGAAAGGTATTTAGGGTGATCTTTTTTTTTTCTTTCAGGGATTCACAGAACTGCTTCCTATTGACTTGATTAAAATTTTTGATGAAAATGAGCTGGAGGTTTGTATTATAAACATTACTTTATGTAAAGTAGATTTTTTTAAAAGTACTTTCCACTACTTTACAAATGATATTTTAATATTCTCTTTGATATATAATGTCCCAGAGCGTAAGTTTGGATGAATTCTATCTTGTGTCTCTTATGGGACTTGTGGGGCGATTTGGGAGTGAAGAATAACAAAAATAGTCAACCATAGTTTCCTTGCCCATGAGAGGGCAGTTCTGGAACGTGCCAGATAAACCCACTGAACTGAGTTGGGTTCTTGGCCCTGGGCACCAGGTAAGGAAAATTGCTGCATCAGGTAGAGCCAAGGTTTGGGCATCATTGAAATCATGTACTGCAAGCCTTTCACTGTACAGGTGGGAAACTGAGGCAGAGAGAAGTTAACGACCCAGGGTTCACCCAGCAAGGTTTTGGCACAGTCAGGCCTAGGAACCAGGTTTTCAGGATTCTGGTTTAGATCTCTTTCCATTTTATTCTAGTACTTCTGCAGGAATATTATATTCTGTTGTCCATGGGAAATCTTTCCTGTTGGAGAGTTAGGTAATAAGAAAAGCAAACCTTAGACCAAATGCTAAGTCAGAGAACCCCTGCCTTAGCACACATCTGCAGTTCATTGGCCTCTGGACAGAGGAGGTGACTTGTCATCACCTGAATTAATCAGTCTGGAGGAGATGAGTTCTTGCTGTCATAAGCACTAATTCTTTTGTGGGTAGGGAGATTCTTTCAAATATTCAGACAAATAACCACCCAGGAGGGAGGAACAGCTGGGGTTGTGTGCGTTTGCTGGCGGAGTGTCTAAGCAAATCTGTGAGCTCCGTGCTTAAGACGAGGGGTCAAGAAGGTGATTGCGGAGTTTTTATTTCCAATGTGAAATGTCACGGCCTTACACAGGCTTAGAATTGAGTCACCCTCATTACCTGTGCTATCCCTGTGACCTGCTATCGCAGGTCAAGTTTGGAACAAGTATCCGCCTTCGTTAGTTTTTACGCATTACTGGCTAACCTGCTTTGCACAATGACCAAATGCCAGCACGGAGGAAAGGTCATTTCTCACTGTGAATTCTTCAGCTTTCACACCCTGCCTTGTTTACATCTGGTTAATTTCCGTCCCAGTTGCTGATGTGCGGCCTCGGCGACGTGGACGTGAACGACTGGAGACAGCATTCTATTTACAAGAACGGCTACTGCCCGAATCACCCTGTCATTCAGTGGTTCTGGAAGGTAACTCCAGGGCCCAGTCCCCGCCCCGGGATCTTCTACCTATATCGGAACTGGTGGCTCCCAGGTGTCCTTCGTACGGTCTGACTTCAGGACTGGTGCTGACACTGGTGTCTGTTAGCACCTGCCCTGCTGGGGGGAGAAGAGGCAGGCTGAGCTGGTGGCCCTCGCTATGCGTGTGCTGTCACTTTCGTAGACAGCTGGGCTTGAGCAAGGTGATCCCTGACAAAACCTGGTTAGAGCGACTTCTGTTGGAGGAGCCCAGTGAGTAAGATGATTCTGAAAAGGAATTAATTGGCTTCAGAAGTAACTGGAACTAGTGTCCCAAAGTGTAAATAAGAATGGTGATTTCCCAGGGCACAAGCATGCTTCAGGGCTGGCTTTTCCGAGATACTGTTTCCTAGTAAGAAGTCATTGTCTTCATTTTTTTTCAAATTCCAACAAATATTTTGATCTTTATATCTTTCAACCAAAGATGCAAATGAAATTTAATATCTTTGGGCCAATGTTTGCATTCTGTTCAGCTTAGGAGAGACATGAAATAGGAATAGGTTAGTCCAAGGAAGAGATGGTGAACTAACTTTAAAAAACCTGTTACCCAAGAAAAGCCTGGTTATTTACCTACAGGAAAAAGAAATCACTAACTTCTAAATATTTCTAAATTTATAAATGTCTATTGTTAATATTTCAAGTACCAACAGAAGTCTAGAGAGAGAGAAAGCAGAATCTTCAAATCCTAATCTAAGTCTCACTTAGCTTCAATAGTGGATATTTTTCTATAGCAGTTCAAATATAACATTACCAGTAAAGCCAACTCAATTCCAGTAATAATTCAGATATGTAAGATGCACAGCACAGATTGCTTTAGATGCCCACCCTTGCCTCTGATTGTTTTTTCCCCCTTTTTATAAAATGTTGTCTTTGGGAATGTGTCTGCAGTCTGAAACCTCATCTCATAACCCAGATTCCCCTTAGGTTGACGCTCCTTGAACACTGTATATTTATAACTGGCTTCGGGGGAACTGGCCAGGTTCACACACACAGAAATATGAGCTCGATGCCATCAAAGAGTTTGCTTTTTATATCATTTATTCTAGCATATTGGCAGAAGAAGAAAGAGACATTGTGATCAGTCACTCTCTAAGATGAGAGAGGCTGGTACTGTCGTGGGCCATAAAAAAAAAAAAAGGCTCAGTTTTCAGAGTCAACATCGTGGGTCTTACAGTGCATCATAAACGAGGTGGAGCTATGCCTGCTCACATTACAGCAGCATGGGCAGCGTGTCACGTGGGGGACGCAACGACCTTCTGCCTCTGTTCCTAGGCTGTGCTATTGATGGACGCCGAAAAACGTATCCGGTTGCTGCAGTTTGTCACGGGGACGTCCCGAGTACCTATGAATGGATTTGCCGAACTTTATGGTGAGCACGGGATCTGGTTAGAGTCAGTTCTCCTCCTGCGAATTTCTGGCCAAGCATCCGTCATGGCCCAAGAACACTCTGCCTCTCTACACAAGCTGGGAAGTCTGTTTAGGACGGTGTGCTACGTGTAGGTTCAGTAACAGCCCTTCACACAGATAGACAACAGGTGCTTCTGCCCGGAGGGATGGAGGGGGAGCAGTTTGTGGAGAGAACCATGAGGGTTGGTCTTCTCTTTGTTTTTTCTTTCTTTTTTTTTTTTTCTAGTTCAGTTTTTTAGTATACCTTTAAAAACTGGGTTTTGCAGAATCACCCATGTGGTTATAAACTGATCACTTAAAGGACATCTCACCTCCAGGTCACAGAATTCCTTAGTACTTACTGTAGGTTTTTTTAAAAACCACTTTCTGCTTTGCAGACTGAAGGTCACATCTTATTTTTTTCCCCCCGAAAGTAGTTTTGGGTTTAAATTTCCAGGGTTCAATTGAGAGGCCGTACCTGTCAGCCCTTGCAGATGTTGTTACGTCTGCTAAACTTGTGGGATTCCTTTCTGAAGGTAGTGCGGAGTCTGTGTTATGAGGTTGTCCAGTAGTTTTACTTCTCCCAACATTAAATATTAGCCAGGTATAATGGCTCACACCTATAATCCCAGCACTTTGGGAGGTTGAGGCCGGGAGTTTAAGACCAGCCTGGGCAACATAGGGAGACAGCCTGTCTTTACAAGAAAAAAAAAAAAATAGGGCACGTGGTAGCATGCCTCTGTCATCCTAGCTACTGGGGAGGCTAAGGCAGGAAGATTGCTTGAGTCCAGGAGTTCTAGGCTGCATTGAGCTGTGATTGTACCACTGCACTCCAGCCAGGGAGACAGGGCAAGACCCCATCTCAAAAAAATAAATAAATATTATATTGTCGCAAGAGAGAGTGTCTCAGGACTCACCCTGGGGGAAATCCCTGCCCTGACAGTAGCTGGTCTGTCCTGCTTCCCGTTAAGTCACACCATAGCTTGCTTCTACGGCCTCAAGCGCTCTTAACGTTCCTCTCTCTTTCCTTGTCTAGGTTCCAATGGTCCTCAGCTGTTTACAATAGAGCAGTGGGGCAGTCCTGAAAAACTGCCCAGAGCTCACACATGGTGAGTGACAAAAACATGTAGTTGTCAACAAGCAGTATTTTATATACTTAGCTACGCGTGGTGCTGGGCGCCACGCTATAGAATGCTGTGTGCTGCCATAAATAGCTCGGAGAACGCAACGACAGTGGTGCGAACGAAGACAGAAATTGGGCGGTAGTGCTCATAAAACTTAAACCGGGATTCGAGCTCGGTGTGCTTGGCACGTAGAGGGCTCAGCTCTGTGGGGAGCCCCTCCAAGCCCGGTCCTTCCCTGACTGCCCCGGGTGACAGAGGTTTCACCGTTCACCAGGTGTGGATAAGGCAGCCCCCACCCTCTCAGCAGATTGAGTTTTCACTCTAACTTCACATTGGGTGTTTGGAGTTTGGGATAAAATTCCCTGGAGAAACATCCTTTTTAAAAGGCTCCGTGTCCCCATCCATAGCTCTTAATTTCCTGGAGTTGAGTAATAATGTGATCGCGGCCCAGGAGTATAAGTGGTCTGACCAGTGACCCGTTGCCCAGGGTGACGGGTGGAGCGCGGCTGCCCTCTCAGGGTGCGGGGCGAGGCGGGAGGGTCTCAGTGGTTTCCTTCCAAGAGTTCCACAAAACCCAGCACACGTGCAGGCTCGGTGCGATCAGTTCTTTAAAGCAGAGTCCAGTGCGCTCTTGCTAATCCAAGTTCCCATGTCCCTCTCGTTGGGTTTCCTGCACAGGCTTTTGTTTCCTGTTCCGTAGGAAGCAGTGAAAGTGGGCCTTCTAGAAAACGGTGAGCAGCTTAGCCCTGCTTTTCTCATGCACGAGGGGCTTCAGAGCCTGCCTCGACCCTGCTGAACTTACATAAACAACAGGACACTCCCTGCGGGTAACGCCCTCTCTTAGACTAGAAGTGCCGGCTGGGAGAGAATTCTCATGAAAAAGTATTTGTGAGAAATTGGCTGTGAAAGGATTTTTGCTTCTGTTTGATCCCCTTGCTTTGCCAGAAAGGTCTTTTTCCCCCATTCGTACCATTCATTTGACTGTGAACGGAGTGAATAAGGTCACTGCCGGTGAGACCCTTCAAGGCAAGCCGAGTCCAGCCTGAGATTGGTGACTATGCAGAATGGTCATTGTCCCTGGTTCTCTGCCTTTATTCTAGGGGGAGAATGTTTTGGTAGTTTAGAGCTTTTATTCCAAACAGTATCAGAGTTAAATGTGGTTTTCTGGGTTACAATAGCCGCAGTTCAAAGGCAGCCAGCACCGGCAGCAGAGCCCCAGGACTGTGGGCATCCGTGCGAACTCCCAGACTCATAGCCCGCAGTGACAAATACTAGCAAGAGCTAAATTATTGGGCACGGCCATCTTCTGCGGGTCAGGCACTAAGTGACCTTTATGGCAACTTATTGTTTACTGTTACTGTCCTCCTGGGCTGTCAGGAGGCTGGCCCAGCATGACAGTTCACAGATCCCAGGTCACAGGATTTGAACTTGAGACTGGTAGAATTAGTCTGCACCCTTAACCACTGCAGCAAATATACCGCCTCTGATGAAACAAGCACTTTCTTTTTAGGCTCTTCAAATAGAACCGAATTAGTGAACCAGTTTAGCATTCAGCCCTGTCCCTCTGTGCCCTGTGGACGGATAGCTCACTCTTGCCCGCTGCTCTGCAGCCCACGTGCTTCAGCCACAACAGGGTTCTGCCCAGCTGAGACCTCCGACCTCAGTTCTCGACCTTGGCTGCGTGTGGGAACATCTAGAGAGCATGAAAGAAAAAAAAAAAACAAAAACGGATGCCAAGGATTTGGACTTGGTTGGTCTAACTCAGGGGTCCTCAAACTTTTTAAACAGGGGGCCAGTTCACTGTCCCCCAGACCATTGGAGGGCTGGACTATACTTTAAAAAACAATATGAACAAATTCCTATGCACACTGCACGTATCTTATTTTGAAGTAAAGAAACAAACGGGCAAAAACACCCGCATGTGGCCCGCGGGCCGTGGTTTGAGGACGCCTGGGCTAGCGTGTGGCCTGGCAGTGGGATTTCCAAAGCTGTGCCCGGATCCCTGCAGGCAGGCAGGGTCGAAAACTCACAGCTCTTCCCTAGGAAGGGCTTCCTAGAGGAGGAAAACCACCCAGCAGGCTCTTGCCGAAACTTCTTTTCCTCTCCGTGTCATAGAAATAAAGCAACCAAATAGTTTTCCTAGCAGCACTCTCCCCGGCCACCTGGCCATCTGACGGAGAGCACTGGTGGTCACACGCAGGGGCTGTTCTGCTTTCTCTTCGAGCCACTCTCCTCCCAGCCTGGCCTTGGCCGTGCTGTGCGTTAGGGAACTGGAGCTTCACTGGCTGCCTCGCAGCAGCAGTTCCGCGATAAAACTCAGCCATCTATGTGTTCTGTTCCTTCCATGCTTTATGAAAATGTAAGTTACATAGTTAAGCTTCGTAATAAAAATCCCATCTACCCAGAGAGCAAAAGCTGGTAGATTGGTTCCTTTCGAGGGCACTTTGCACTAAGCTCTCAGATGGGACTGTCGAGCGTGTGACGTGCAGAAGGCTTCATCTCATTGTTCTGTTGAAGGTCGCTACGTGGACATTTAAAATTGCTCTTTATCAGGAGTCGCAGATCCGCCTGCTCTTTGAAGCAGGCCCTTTACAAAATCTTCTCATTCGTCTTATCTATGGGGAAGCTAAAGCCACTGAAGACAAATGACCTCCTCAAGGTCACCCAGCTCCTCAGTGGCAGACCCTGTCCTGACCACAGACGCAATGGAACTGACACTCACTGAGCACTTACTACATTCCAGACATTGTCCTGGGCACTTGATGTGATTAAGTCACACAATTGTCACAATGCCAGGAGGTGGGTGATACTACGACCCACTTCGTACAGATAAAACAGAGGCCCAGAGCAGCTAAACAGCAAGACTCAGAGCTCAGGCCTGAGCGCTGCCTCACCGGCCCCTCTCCCTGTGCTGTGCTGCCGTTTCTCAAACGCGAATCCTCCGTGGACCTTTTAGTGATCAGATCCCCGAGAAGAGGTGTTCGGCCCCCACAGGGAGGGCAGGCCCTGGGCTGTGAAGCCCCCACGGGAAAGACCGAAGCCACCACCTGCCACAGGGTCTGTTAAGTGCCATCTGCACGTGCAGGTTCTGTCTTTATAACTGGTGAAGTGATGTTTTTAGATCATTATCAATATGAAAACAAGTTAAAAACTTTAAGACTTATTCTTCTAGGATTCCTGGGTGTCTGGGAACCCCCGTTTGAGAAGCACAGTGTCTTTCTCTGTGTCTTCTAATGCTCAGTGGCAGTGACGGAATCCGAGTGGAGCTCATTCAGGTCAGGGGGACTTACGGAACAGTTCCGGGGTGTTAAGACCCACCGTGGTTGTGTATTAGTTTCTTGCTGCTGCTGACGACGGCTAGCCGTTAAAACATGGGAAGTTGTTCTGCTCATACTTGGAGTCGCACATCTGCGCCTGGAGCGGTGGTTTACATGCAGACAGAGCGGCGCTCACGCGGGGCCAGCATAGGCACGGGTGAAAAGCTGGGCCTTGGAGCCAGCCCGGGGCTGAACCTGGCTTTCCCCCAGCTGTGTGACCTGGAGCAGGTTACCTAACCTCTCTGTGTCTCAAGTTCCTTCTCTATTAAGTCGGGATGGAGCGTTTACCCACCTTCCAGGTTGAGTGCCGGGCTTCCGTGAGGTCACACGGGCGTGGCGCCGAAACAAGGCTGATGGCACGTGGCGGGCGTTGGCTCCTCCTGGGTCGTCGTCAGCGGTGGCGAGTGCTGTGACCTTTCTCGTGACGGGTGCACGCCGCAGGCCACCCACAGGCGTGGCGCTGTGGCTGGAGGCTCCAGGCACACCTCCTGCAGGTGCCGGGTGAGCGGCACACTGATGGCTAGTAGGCGGCAGGTGCCAGCCTGTGGGCCCCGCTGGTCGCGGGGCTGAGGCAGGAGGATCACTTGAGCCTGGCAGTTGGAGATTGGTCTGGGCAACATTCTGAGAAGACCCTGTCTCTTTTTATTTAAAAAAAAAAAAAACAAAAACCAGTAACATTGATCATCACCTATTGGCCCACTTCACGGGTGCTGATTTGATCCTCCCAGCAGCCCTGTGAACAGTGTCCCCATTTCACAGATGAGCACACAGGCTCAGAGAGGTGAGGTAACTTGCCCAAGGTCACACAGCTGGCAAGTGGCGGAGCCAGAATTTGAACTTGGTTGCTCACAGAGGCGAGCCATTTGTCTGAAGACCTCACCATCACCAGCGTGATTTTACAATCCCCCAAATGAAGCCTCCGGATACGTAGGGGCTTTTTTTTTATATAAATGCAGCTTTCCATTTTAAATGTGGAAGTAATTGCCATTACTTGCCTGACCTTGACGAGAGCAGGTAGCTCCACGTTGGTGTTGACGGTCTGCCCTGTCACTAGAAGCGTGGCCTCGGCCACCCTGACTTCCCCTCTCTGCTTCCAGATCTGCCTCTGCAGAATGAGATGGCATCACTTGGCTCACAGGCTGTGATGGAAACAAAGTGAATCAATAGAGAAAAGCACTTGGCTTGAGGCCTTGATGCCTTGATGTAGAATAAGTAGCCTCAGGGATAGGCACAGCCTGAGTGTATGTGTGACTCCGAAAGCGTAAGTTCTCTGCGTTCCACGCATTTGGCAGTCTGGGTGTGTGCGTGAGCTGCGTGCCTCTCGTGTCTGCCCTCCCACCGGCCCTCCACCGAGATCCACATCGGGCCACGGCAGTTTCCTGGACTGTCAGAAAATTGTTTTCTCCCCTCTGTAGGCTATATAACCTATTTGGTGTGGACAGTTTCATAGCTAGAATTTATTCTTTGGGATTCAAAATTATTAGGGGAAGCTTTTTTTTCTTTTTTTTTTATTCTCTTGCTCAAACACCATGCCCCATCAGCCAAACCTAGGGGGTGGCACCGTGGCTTTTCACCTCCACTCTCTGTTCCTTTTGCAGCTTTAATCGCCTTGACTTACCTCCATACGAAACCTTTGAAGATCTGCGAGAGAAACTTCTCATGGCCGTGGAAAATGCTCAAGGATTTGAAGGGGTGGATTAAAGCAGCACGCCCTGCCTCGGGGGTGGTTGTTCTTCGAGCAAGTTCTGCTTGCACTTTTGCATTTTGCCTGACAGACTTCTGCGGAGACGATTGGCAGAAGAGCGGCTGCAGGCGTGGGCCCTGGAGCTGAGCCTTCGCGGCGCACGCGTCCGCCGTCCCCGTCCAGGCGCGGGAACCCGGCCCCAGCTGAGTCCCTGCGCTTCCCCCCGCACATCATCGACTGGTTGATATGTACACTAATTACATTTCAGGAGGACTTTCGCTATTTATGTTGTGCCTCTGCAGGCAAAGCCCTTAATAAATATTTTACATACTTTCTAATGACAATGAATGGAATTAATCACTCTACAGGTATGGTATTACAACTCGTGTTTACTTTTTAAAATGATTTAGACCGATTTTCAGATTTTATTTAATTACAATTAAAGATGTCTCATGTCCTTGGAAAAGTGAGCAATTTTTTTTTTTTTTCGTATTTGAATTTCATACCGGGCTTAATGACAATGACATTTTTATTTTTGAAGTCCTTTGACACCTCCACCCTCTATTAGAATTGGAAGCCTAACTTTTGGCCCAAAAACCTCCTACAGACAAGTACTTTGAGAGAACTTCCAATTCCATTATATCATTAAACATAATGATAATTTTTTTTTCCATACTCAGAAAGAAAAACTGGGTATTACATTTTTGGGTTTTTTGTACAAATCTAGATAATAGCTACAGGCTGCGAGACTTGTAACATAGCATGACAAATTTTGTGTTGACTTGAAAGGAATCACACCATTATTCCTTAGAAGTAATTACGTGTGCTATAACACATTTGAGACAGGGTTGGACTACCATTTCTCGTAAGAGAAATTACTTAACCCTTCCCGATGCTGTACAGACATTCTTTTATTCTATTTCCTCTTCGCCATTTGTAGTAGAGACATTTTGAATGAAACTTGGCACTGCTTGATTTGAAACTGTGGAAACCAGATCTGTCTAGTCTCTTCTTTGTATGCGTTTGCTAACGGTAGCCACATAACCCACTTCTGTTCTAGCTGCACCCGTTCCGAAGGCACTTCATGTACTACGTGGAGGTCGTATCTGGTTTTTTGTTTTTGTTTTTTTTTTATCATAAACATTAAATGTGATGATTATTTCTTCTCCCCACACACGTCTATCAGTTGTGAATCTGGCTGCTAACGTATGAATACCCGGATGTGAAGCTGAGCCTACAGACCTGTCCTCCCCATCGTTGTGTGATTCCTACGCAGCTACAAAGATTGAATACACACTTGATCTGAGTTTTGTTATCTGTGACCTGTTGCATGCTTCGAGACTGCCCGAGTTGTGTCTGTCGTGTGCCAGATTAGCAGTGACAGAGAAGACTTGATTTGACCCAGAGAGGTCAAGCCGTCGATTCGAGCTGGTCGTGCTAGAGGATTGAGGGCATCTGCGAGGTTCCATTCTTTTCCACTGGCAAGTCTCTGTTGTGGAAGTCCGTTGTGTTTTGTGAAAATGCCTGAGGCTTGGGAGTTCTGCAACCCTGCTGTGTCCTTTTTAACCTGTGTTGTCCTGAACCCTGTTGCCAGTCGTCGATAAGACCAAAAAAATTGTGGTTTCAGGAGCTGCGTTAGGTCAGAAGGACCTTCTGCCGTAAGAAATTGCTCGTTGTTACCCAGCTCTGGGTGGCACGTGAGAAGCCTTGAACGTTTTGTGTTTGCAGATGAGTTGTCTGAAGGGGGGGTGGGGGGGTGCAGAGGCCTGAGTTTCTAAAAGAAGGTGGATTTCTACAGAGCTGAATATTGGCTCCTTTTCCATATTGTTTTAAAAATATACCTAGTAGTGATCAGAAAGCTTCGGTGTTAAGTAACTATCAAAAATAATACTGCTCAGTTATTTCTGTCTATTGGTGGTGTTTTTCCCCTACAGTCGACATAACAAATTGTCTCAGTGGCAAAAATCCCCTTTTGTAAACCCTAATAGTTCATATTCTATTTTCTTTTAAAACTCATGCCAAAGCCCAGGTGGAGCAGCAGTGTGCTTTTGTGGGTTTTGAGAGTGATCATGTAATTATAGGAGGAAAAAAATCCAATTCTAGTCTTAAGAACTAGGATTCTTCTGTCATTTTGCAAACTGTATATTGAAAAAAAAATCAGAATATTCACTAAATGCAAATTCAGCCAAGTATTGAAAAATGAAAGGAAATATTTGAAATATGAAAGAAAAATCATTCTGATAATTTCTAAGTCAGAAACAGATAAGAATTATCGAAATCTGCTCCATGAGTACTTGAAAGGCAGTAATTGTGAATGACACTTTAGTTCATCTTTCCATCAATAATATCTGGTTTTAATGACGAGTAAACATTGCTGGATTGGGGGTTTGCTTTTAAAAAAAAAAAATCAAAATAAGATTCCATAGTCCTCAATAATTCTGGAAGTTTCACTCTTTGCCCCAAATGGTCATATATCTTGTGTTCTCCAAGTCTTGAAGGCCATGTTCGTCTCATAAGGTCATTGCAGGGGTGGTGTGCTGTGCATGGGGCAGGTTGCTGGCTCGTTCCTCAGGCCCCCACCCCCACTGGCAGCCCTGGCAAAGGAGGGTGCTGCCCCCCATCCTAGTGGTCCTAGCCTCTAGGCCAGGCTCTCCAGCTCTGTCTTCTCCCAAGCCCCTTAGTCCAGTGTCTTTAGTTCCCTGCCGAAGCTGTGCTCACTCTCCATTCTCCTGCCAGAGCTCGTGAAGGTCTGTTAACATCAGTTACCACAGTTGCCTGTGGATCCTGGGTGTTTCCATTCCTGCCCCTCGGTGGCCTGAGGAGGAATGGGGGCAGTCCGCGTGGCGGGAACAACTGCAGACAGTGCTGCCTCCCCACCCCGGGCGCGGAGCAGGCAGCAATGAGCATGTCGGTGTTACGGTGTAGTGGGCTTCAGTGCGCGCTCCTTGTTGGCCTGAAATGTATATTGTCGTTTACTTTTCCATAGCCAGTACACTCATCACTACAACAAACCTAAGATACTTAATCTTTGTTTCCAAGACCCTTTGGCAAGTGACAGTGGATGTCCCCTAAATTCAGATGGCAAATGATACAAAGTGACTTCACATGAATCATTCCTCCCACGTAAGGACATAGTTGACAGATCCTGAGAAATGGTTTGCAAGATACTTGAGCTACTTTCTACACCTCCCAGTGTTACATCGACAACATACGCTGTTGCTGTTTGATCTCAAAAGATCCCAGGTGGCTCTCTCAAAAGCCAAGTTCATATGCAGTAACTTTCAAATTGTTCTATCAGTTACCAGTTAACCCTTATATTTTCCTACGAGTATTGTATCTCACCTCTGAAACTTTAAAATACATTTTTTTAAAACAGCCTGGGTTAATCAGTTCTCCAAGCCTCCACACACTGTGGCAGCCCTACTCTCTCTTTTCCACTCTCTCTCTGCTCTTTTCCACTCTCACTCTTGCTCACCCTCACTCTGCACCCCTGTACTGAGGGAGGGAAGGGGGAGGTGCTATCTGGTGTCATTTTCTACCTTGCCAGTAGGGGGTGCTGCTGTGCAGGGTAACCACCCGGCCTGCTCCCTTCCTGTCCCCCAGAAGATCATGCACTGCCTCTGTCTCATTCAGGCATTGGGGTACGTCCTGGTAAGTCACATCAAAACTGCCAATTTCAGGACTCAGATGTGTTTTTAAAAAACTCCTTATAAACTCCAAATTTTGTATTAATACTTTAGATTTTAAAACTGGGGAGGAAAATGTGATATACTTTGGACCACTTTTTGAATTTACATAAGCCTTAATGAACAGTGTATATATGTACTTGCATACACACACGCCCACCCCAGGGTGTTCTCAGTGTGTCAGAGAAAAACGCTGTCGCATTAGGACGTGAGCTTGGATAATGTTTTACAGGAAAGGGTTAACGTTCTGTTGGTATGAAATTTTCCAAGGAAACCAGTTGTTACACATCCATCCTTTGTTAAAGATGTTATACTCAAAGCAGCGCATGTTGAAAGTGCATGTCTTTGTTGGTTGGTTTTGTGTCTGTAAGGAGTAACCGTGGGACTCTAAGGACATTGCTCTTGGCTCCTGCTGCTAGTATACTGCATTCTCAACCTTGTATCAGCACGTCGGAAGCCGCTCTTGTGACCATAACCCTGTGTCTGCAGATACCTGTTCCTCTGTAAGCCGGTTGCCTCTCCTACTCAGGCTAATTTCACCTAGATTGTCACAGTTTCCTTCATGTTAACTTTGCGTGACTTTGTTCTTCCTTCACTACTATGTATGTAATATATATACATATATACCTACATATGCTGTCCAAATATATATGTATATATTTATATAGCATTTTTACACCTTTATCGAGCAATCTGGTTTCGAAAGGGAGTGAGAGCTTAGTCCCTTCTCCAGTTTTCTCCAAGCTGTGTCCTGAAAATTCTCTAACCCTCAGAGCCTGAGAGAACCCTAGGAAGATGATGATTTGCTGTCATTTCGTAATTCAGGATCTGTTAACAAATGAAACATGAAAAAAACAGTGACTTTTAAAGGTGAAAGAGTTTCAAGCATTCCAAATGAATTCTCAATGTTTCATAACTTTTTATTATAAACCCACCTCCTAATATAAAGCCAAGTACTATTTGATACAGTGGTAAAAACCAAACTACCTTGAAGTTTTCTTTTTAAAGACAACTTACAGATAATGCTCATTTTCACAATCAGAATAGCTTTAACGTACAGTTGAATTTGATACAGGAAAAGCTTTGTTTAAGAACAAATCCTTTTTGCTTTGCTTTTTTCTTTAGAAATCTAAAGAGAAATTGTAGATTGTTTTCCTGACAACAAAAGACTAATGTGACAAAATGAAGTTATTGTAAAGAAGTGATGCAACTTGTCAAATATTTAATAAAGAATTATGGAAGCTGGAACATTTTCTACATCAAGTATTATGGGCTGTCTGATTTAAAGCTGCTTTGTGAAATGCATCATAATTGCTTCAGAGGGTGTTAAATGCCTGCACATTTATAATATGTTCACTTCCTTCCTCTTCCCCAAAACTCCACACGTTTAAAAAACATTAAAGTCTGACCAAGACACATGGCCTAGGCTTAATGAAAGGATACACATTTATTCTTACCTGTCTGCTGTTTTGTCTTTTTATTAAACTCCTAGAGCAACCACTGTCCTGAGTTTTTCCCACCATATATTAGTTTCACCTATTCTAGAATGTCATACAAATGGAACCATACAGTTTATTACAGTAAATTTTTTTTATCCTAGCTGGTATCTATACTCCCTTGAAGCGGTAAAACCCATTTTAGTCAATTGATGGGAAGCCACAGGGCACCATGAAAGAAAAGACACCAAATAGTCTTTCAAATAGTCATCAGATATCCAAATAGCTGGATATCCTCATTTCACGGGCTCAGGACTTCCCAAATATACACAGTCCCCCTATAGGATGTTTGAGCCTTGATCAATTGCATACAGGGATCACCTTGAAATCCAGGTACATTTGTGGGGGGATGGTTGTCCGTTCCCTGGCCCCCGCCCAGCTGCTCCAGCCGCCTCCCTCGCCGTTGCTAGCATCCTGAGGAGGAAGAATGCAAGAGTTTATTAGGACAGTAATGCGGTTAACCCCCAGATCACAGTGGCTTAGTAGGGGTGCGTTTCTCGGTCCTGGGTAGGTTAGAGGAGAGGTTGTGCTCCTCCGACATCTCCACAACCCCCGGGAACGGGGTCCTCTGCCACCCGCCGGCAGAGGAGGGAAGAGAGCCTATCGAAGCTGGTGCAGGAGGGCCAATCCCCTCTGCCCACCTTCCCCTGGCCGGAAGTCAGTCACATGGCGGTGCCTAACTGCAAGGGAAGCTGGGAAGTATCCAGTGGCACCCAGAGAAAAAAGGAGGGAGTTTGGGAACAACAAGCCAAACTCTGCCATGAAGAGTTTACTTTCAGCCATCAATGCGCATCCCTTTGCAGAGTCGGTTT